TGTGACCTTCTTCTAAAGGCATCAAAGAGCTGCCAAAGACTTGAGATTATAGTTATCTTCTAAAGGCCAAATCTTTGTGACTTTATGACAACGAAACGATTTATAACAAAGCACACTGTGTCTCAAGCTTTCTCTTCATTCTCCAAATAAAACACTCGCAATGCCTACTCTGACAAAGGCACTGGATTGACGTTCGGACCTCATTCCACATGGTGTGACACAGGTGCAGGGGTGGGGGCAACAGGTCTGATGCCAGGCCACCAGCAGAGGCAGACGCCTCCCCACAGCAATCTGGCTACGACCTAGGTCACGGCTCCTGACATCCTGTTGGTTATGAGGTGCATCTTCCCCCAGTCATATTGGGGCATGTCTGGCCCTGGGGTATGGGGAAACAGGGCTTTTTCCTGCCCCTGTGGGTGGATGGGCTGCAACTCCATCTCTCCCAGGTCAAGTGTCACATGAGAGGGCCCCTAGAGGGACAGGGGCTGGAGAATGTGGGAAACTCAACCTGCACTTCCGTTCAGCCACCCTCTCCAAGTGTAGTAAAGCATGAGTAACTCACAGGACCACATTTTAATGCACCTTTATTTTAGATAGAGAAAGTCCATTTTGGCCACACAAACACAATCCTGCATGAGGCGTGGGTTTGCCCTGGGTCCGATATAGCCTAGGAGTCTCTGCTCCACATCCAGGTTACTGTCATGGGAGTCTTAAGGTGTTAGGTGCCCTTGTGGCTTTTAACTGCCTAATTAATGCCTGTAGGGAGGCATCAGGTCAGGTTTGGGTGTTTTGTTTTTTGTTTTTCCAAAAACAAAGCCAGAAAGAAAGAAATACCTCCTGGCTGGCTCACTGGATAGGTGGTCTCTGTCTCTCCTGATATCCAAGCTCTTAGTATCCCAAGAAACAGGCAAGCGGGGCACACACAAGTAGTAAGAAAAGCAGAGGTTTTATTCAAGGGAGAGTACACTCTGCAGAGTGGGATCAGGCCTAAAAGAAAGCTCAAGGCTGAGCTTGACCCAGAGCAGACCCATCTGGGTTTGGTTTTGAGGTGTTGATGGGGACTTTTCCAGTGGTTTCTTATCAGAACTCTATCCTATTAGCTGAGGGTAGAGACCCTCATATCAGGAGGGTGGGTTTTTGAACTGACACACCTTGTTGGCACCAACGTGGTTGCCAAAGCTCACCAAAAAGGCCTAAACAATGCTAATGATACTACGGTGACGTGGGGTGACATCGCCAACTCTGAAGCACTGAGAATGCGTGTTCCGTGGGGTCAGGCCAGGTGCCAAGGCAGCGTGACACCTGCCTAGGCATCGCTTAGGCTCACACCAGGTCATTAAGTAAATACTGTGAGGGCAAGACACTCTCCTGGCTTTGGGAGCCAGAAGGCATCCTACTGGCTGCTGGCCTGAGGCCCGGATGCTTTCCTCACATGCCTGTCCCCTGCCTCGGGGTCTCACAGAGGGGCTGTTGACTCTACCCAAGCTACCAAGGTGTTGTAGTCAGGGCTTACAAGGAGAAATTACATACAGGACACAGAATTCATATTATTCTATGATGGTGTCCCAGAGTTAAATATGAGACAGTGCAGGAAATCTGTCCACAATGCTAAAGACCTAGAAAATCCAGCCCAGGGCCTGGGTTCACAGTAACGTCCTGCATGAGTCCAGCTGAAGACCTAGAGCCCATGACAATGCCTCCCACAAGGGCAACTGGAGACCTCAAGTCCACAACATTGACTCAAGCAAGTTTGTTTCATGGATCTGCGCTGGGAAGACCCAAATTCAGTGGCAGAAACTAGAGTCTGTGCCAACGGGGTGAAGAATCTGTGCCAGTAGGTTGAGGGTTCTGCACTGGAGCCAGCAAGCAACACTCAAAATAAGGACCAGGGCTCCCCTGAAAAGTGCCACAGCCATCCTCAGTGACAGTGAGATCCTGAGCTCCTCTAATGATAATGGCCAAACTCATTTGGGGAAGCTAGCCATGACAAGCTCCTCCAGGAGAAGCAGTGACTCCAAACAACACTTAGGAGAACCCATGACACCACACTCTTCCTCACCGTGTCTCCCTTTATGCTGGCAACTTTCCTCAGGTGGCCATCTCCACCAGGCTAATTTAATTCAGCTGGTGTTAAGTTGACCACCAGTTTTTAATCCATAACAAAAGGGTAGCAGTGTCCTGTGTCCATGGGTCCCACCACTGTTCTACCCCGGCAGTCCCTAATGCTCTCTCTCTGTCTCTCTCAATGGCAATCCAACTCCTCTCCATCCCAAGGTATCCATTTTAGCAATAAACAAATAAAATATATAACACACTGTTCATGAAAAATGATATGCCAAACAGAGGTAGTAGATGGTGATGAAAGTGCTCTTCCTGGCTTCGGGGTCCAGGCAGGCTCCCAGAGGAGGAGATGTTTTCAGGCACCTGAGCAAATGAAAGGAGTGAGCCACGTGGACTGGAGCATTCTCAGAAGGGCTGCAGGGGGTGTCGGGGTCCTGAGACCCAGCCCCACCGAGGCACAAGTGCTGAGAAACAGTGAGGCATCCCTGGTGCCCGGGCCAAGGGAGGAAGGGCCACGGTGGCTGCCAGGCTGCTCTGGAGGACTTTGAGCAGAGTAGTGATGGATTTCACACCCAGGCTAAAGGGGTGGCTGTGGCCGCAGGCAGGCTCAGGGGGTCCCGAGCAAAAGCTGGAGAACCAGAGAAAAGTCCATGTAGAAAAGTCCATGTAAAAGGTGGGAGAGCCCAGGGCAGGCGGAAGAAGAGATTCTGACCACACCCAACCCTCAGTTCCCATGGAGACCAGTTCCAGGATGCTGGTGGCTACCAACGCCCATGGATGCCCAAGTTCTTGACAGAAAACTGTGCAGTATTTGCGTAGGACTGTGCACCTTAAATCACCTCCAGCTGACTTGAAACCTTCTTAGTAAAAAAGTCAAAGTGCGGGAACACTGTTTGTGCTATAGTCTGGGAAAAGGTAGAAATAGAAACTCTTCGTAGGAATGGAGGAATTTGCCTGCACTATAGTAAAATTTCTAAAAGGTTCTGCACCAGGAACTACCCTATAAATACCGGCTGCATTCTGATGGGGGGGGGGACTGAGAACTGGGACAGGAAGGAAACGTAAAGGCTTCCCTGTAGATGGATGTTTTCCAATCTTTCCAAGATCTGAGCCACGAGAACACATCATCTGCTCAGAAGAATGAGGAAAGTTTCAACAAATCTAACTCCCACGCTGAGCTCCTCCTCTGGAGAGATGAGAGCCCACACCAAGAGGGTGACACAGGCTGCCTCCAATGCAGGCAGGCACAGGCTTGCACACATTTCATGAGCCTGAATTCCCTCCTCGCTTTTAAAACTGAAAAAGGCACTGATTACTGTACTAAGTTGACTGTTCAATTCCAAGAGAGAATCAAAAATATGCTTTTATTTTACCCTAATAACAACAGAATAAAAATCAAGACTCGGTTACCATAGAGCCAGGGCAGGAAACCTGAATGGATGAAGGAAGCATGGTGGGCGCGGGACACAGAAGAAATCAGAACTGGGAGGATCTGAACGGCAGGGACCAAGGGGACGGGACTCCCTGCATGGCCAGTGTGTCCGACTCTAGGAGGGGCTCTGTGACTTGTGTCAGAGAATTGTCCCAGCCACCTGGAGCTCACAGATGAAAACACCTCAGCCTCAGGGTCACTAGTCCCAGGCCACACAGCCAAAGTATCAGGGCCAGCGTGATGAAGGTCCCACACCCCTTAACTAATGACTCCACCCTATGCGTCCAGTGTCAGTCCTGTGACAGCGACTGCAAGAAGCTGGGTGACTTGAAAGCCAGCCACCCGCACAGGGCTACATCTTGAGTTCTCTTTTGAGCTGCTTCCTTGGGGCACCATTTGCAAAATGGAAGATTGGCCAGCTTCAAGTGCCAGGACTCGTCCTTACTCAGCTGACCCAAATGTCCCCTCTGCTTCCCTGCAGTCCAGGCCTCCGCCCACTCCTGGCCCTGGACAGCCATCCTTGGGCTTTAGGTCTCTGGAGCTGGGGAAATTCTGTCCATTTCATGGAAGTAGAGTCACAGGGCGGGTCACGCTCGAGCCGGGATTGTTCATGGGGCAGGGGTGGGCAGCTCTGCTGGGCAAACGGCCATGGCTGGTCTTTTCCACTCGCTAAGCGGACACCAGCTGCCCCGTGGCTGCACTACAGTTCTCTGCTGTCTGGCTAATGGACACCTGGACCGTTCTCAGCTCTTGAGTAACACAAAACTGCTATGAGCGCTGGCATCTTTGTGTTCCAGTCTTGAACGAACGTGAGTCTAACCAGGAATGAAGTGGCCGGTTAATGTGTTTCTTGGTTTTATATTTTTAGTTTTGTTTTGTTTGTAAGCGGGACTGAGCCACAGCCCTTGCACTGAGCTGCATCTCACCCTCTTTTTCAGACAAGGTTTCCCTAAGTCGCTGAGATGTCCAGGCCGTGCTCAAACTTGCCATCCTCCTGCCTCAGCCTCCCAGACTTTAGGATTACTGGTATGCACCATGTGTGCCCTGGCATGTATAGGCTTTTACAAAACTGCCAAACTATACTCCAGAGTGGCTGTGCAGCCTCGCTGACGTTTGGGTAACCCTGGGGACTTTAAACATGTATGAATGTCAGTTTCTGTATTTCGTTTCCTCTTGGGAGCTTCCTTGCAAACAAATCTTCAGATTTCTTCCAAACTCACAGGCTGCAGCCCTGGCCCCAGGTCGGCGCTCACACGGTGAAAAGTCCAGGCCAACTATGCTCCACGGCTTGGAAACCAGAGACCCTCCCCTGGAGGGGTCAAGACGCGCTTTCCAATGGACGGGACCCGCAGTGCGCGCGCATCTCCGCCGGGGAGGGCGGGACCAGGGGGTGGGGCCAAACGGGGGGTGGGGCGCAAGCGCCTGCAGCCCTGCCCACCAGGCGCCGGGGCGGGGCGGGGATGGGGCGGAGCCACAGGGGGCGGGGCCCGGCAGCAGCGCGGCCCCGCCCCGCCCACTCCGCTGGAGCTCGGCTCGCAGGCTGCAGCCGCGCCGCGCACCATGGCCGGGCTGCTGGGGCTGCTGGGCCGGGCCGGCGGGGCGGGCGTCCGGCTCCGTTCTGGCGCCACCTGGCTCCTGGGCGCCGCCACCCCCTGCGCCCCGCCGCCCCTGGCCCTGGCCCAGTTCCGACCCGGCCCAGACGTGCGGCTACTCCGCACGGCTCGCAGAGACTTCCGGAGCCACCAGGTAAGCCTGGCCACCCCCACCCTGACCTCTGACCCCTGGGGCGGAGCAGGACCTGGCCCCCTCCGCGGCCTGGACAGCTTTGCTCAGCTGCCTAGGATCCGTCGCTTCCAGGATCCATGAGTCTCCCAACCCTGCACGCGTGGAAAGTGATCTTCCCCCTGACAGCCGGAGAAACTGAGCCCCGGGTGGTCCGGTGCGCTGCCCGAAGTCACACAGCCCCCTGCCAGTGCCTTGGCAGAGCGGGGCCGGGTCGGTGATGACGCCGGGAGAAGCCCGCGGGCCGGAACTCGGTCTGAACTTCCCCTCCGGCCTCCCCGTGCCCCCTTTGAAGTCCCGCTGGGGCCCTGCCCGGGCCCGGGAGGAGCCTCCGCACGCACCTCCCTCCGTGCAGTCTTATCTAATCCTCCGAGCCGGCGACCCTGGGTGTGCAGCTCCCGATTACATTGCATTTCGGTGTCCTTCCACCAGTGCTGAGAGAGCTCGCTTCTATTCACAGCTGCAATACCGCTTTAAAAAAAAATCTATCAGTTTTTGTTGTTGCCGGCTTAATTAAGGGGCTGCAAAGGAAAGCTGGAGCTTCGGGCCTGACAAGTGAACATCCATGGAGAGCCTGGAGTCCCGGGAAAGGGAGACCTCGTACGCCAGCCCGTCTGCTGACCTTGCAGAGGTCTGGGAATAGCTGCTGCAGGCAGGCTTTGGGGGACAGATGAACTGGTGAACGCAGGCCTGAGCGGGGCGCCACAGCGGAGCCCGCATTTTCTGAACTCCTGTAGTTGGGTGGGTGGGTGGCAGAGGACTTTGGCCCATGCCCTTACCGGACCCTGCCCCGCCCCCCCGCCAGTGAAGCCTTGGGCGCCTCCAGTGGGCTCTCTCATGGCTGTGGATCTCTGCATTCATCCTCGAGCATGGCCCCTTGCTTGCTTGTCTCTTTGTCATCTCCGGCCAAGCGCTGTGTGACAGGGGTGTGTGTGTAGCAGAGATGAGTGCGGGGTCTTGGATTCCCCTGATCTCTGTGTCTTATTCTGGAGCCTTGATCGACTGTGCTCATTCTGCTGTGTCTTGGTTTTCTCATCTGTACAATGGGATGTTCCTAACCTCGCTTCACAGTGTAGAAATAAGGTGTTTACACATGACGTGGGGTACAGCCTCCATTAATGTTAGCCGTTGTAACCTTATGAATGCAGCTCTGGGGACCTTGTTTTCCCTGCCCTCTGATAGGAGAGGAGAGTGGGATCCAAGTGGGACTGGAACCTAACAGAACTTTAGAACAGAAGATCATCACCCTGAGAAACACTTCCCAGGCAGCCCCTGAGGGGAGGTACCTGGTGTGGACCAGCACCAGCACCAGCCTGCAGTTTTGGCTTCCTTTAAGTTTCTTGAGATCAGGTTTTGCTGTGTAGTTCAGGCTAGCTTTGAACTCACTATGTAACCCAGGATGAACTCATTGCAGTCCTCCTGCCTCAGCTTCCTGAGTGCTGCGATTACAGGTGTGAACCACCACACCAGCTTGGCCACCAGCAGTTCTGCCTGGCTCCCTCCCTTGTCGCACTGGGCATTTCTCCGTGGCCCTCCTGCAGGCCCCTATTTTTCTGCCTGTGGTCCCTCTTCCCACCGCCCCGAGCTCCTGGATAGTTTTGCTGTTCTGTTCAGCCCCTGCACTCGCAGCAGTCCCTGCTCAGGGCGGATGTGACCATGTGAGGAGTAGGGTTTAGGTGTTAAGAGCGAAGTCTTTGGGAACAGCCCCAGCACACGGAGGCCCGCTCAGATCCCTGTGTGATCCTTGGTAAGTGACACGGCCTCTCTGGGTGCCTAGGGATCCTCTTCTGGTCAGCGGGGTTGAGGCCTCTCCCTCAGAGTGCTGGGACGTTAGCTGAGCTAATGTCTCCAAAGTACTCAAAACACTGCCTGGTGCAATTTACACCACTATAGTGCCATTCAGTATTTAGTCAAGGAAGGGAAGCAAGTGTTGCGCTAAAAGAATGTGCTCACCTTGCTGGCCAGGTGCGTGCCTCATTTTTCCAGCTCTCCTGCTCCCAGGTGGTGCTTTAATCAGGGTGGGGCAGGGAAGACGGATGTCCCACACACAGGGACAAGACCAATGTGAGTCTTCACACACTGTGGTGGGCGCTCGGGGTGCAGAGCCTAGCACATAATGCCCTTAGGGTCACGTCCCATGAAGAGATGAGTGTCTGCAGATTTCCCGCTGCTTGCGGATCACACTCTTAAGCTCTGGTTTAGCCTGTTTCATCACCTCAAGGGTGGGGAACAAAAATGCACAGCTCATGGGGCCCCAGACACTCTTCGAGAGTAGCCATTCCTGAAGGAAGCTACTTTTCCAGCTGTCTCCACCTGCTTTGCCCCAGCCATGCTGCCTCCCCCGCCTCAGTGTCCTGCCCAGCCCTGCACCCAGCCACAATGACTGCTGAGAGCTGGGCTTTTTCTGATAAGCAGGCCCCAGGCCCCACCCTCCTGTCGCTGCAGATGGGACAGCTGCCAGAGGACCCTTCTGGAGCCAAACACTGCCATCAGGCTGAGACCTGGGAGTCCCTTTCACTTCCTGCCCTTGACACTCAGCCCAGCCAGTCAATTATGCAGCGCTCTGTCTGTTCACAGTCCCAGCGTGGCTGTCTCTGCTGAGGGCCCTTTTGTTTACACCCACTGGTTTGGCAAATGGTCTTCTGGCCATAAAAGAAAAGTAAAAAGGCGGCCAGATTTCCAGCTACAGAAGCAGCAGCATCTACCACAAGCCTGTGGGGAATAATTTCCTGAGGTTTTGTTTATTTGATTTATTTTTGTTTTTTGAGGCAGGCTCTTGCTAGGTAGTTCAGGCTTACCTTGAACTTACTGTGTAGCTCAGGCTGGCTTTGAATTCACAAGTGTTCCTGTTGTTTTGAAAGGGGGCCCAGGAAGGCCTCACTACAGTGATATTTAAGAACTCAAAGATGACAGAGCAGTGGAGGAAATATTCGCATTTCTTTTTGAAATATGCACAACAGAGAAGCAGTGGGAGTACCCCTGCCCCCATCCTGTGGGAGCAGGAAGGAAGCTGGACAGAGATGTGTCCTGTGCCCGTGCCCAGTGAGGCAGGGCAGGCGAGCAGGGCCCATGACGGCCCTGGCTGGAACCTCAGAGTCCCCTGGTGAGCTGATGACAAATCCCCATCCTGTGAAGTTACATGGGATCACATGGATACAGTTGTGGGACAAAAGCCCTCCAGGCCCTCCCGCCTTGGCAGCTTGACAGTGGACACCACGCAGGCCACTGGCAGCAGGAGAGAAACGCAGCAGTGCACGTCCAACATGCTCAGTGTGGCCACTGCTTCCGGTAGCAGGTCAGAGCCAGGCCTAGTTGTGCAAGTGAAGCTGGCATGTGTGAAAGCCACTGCTCACTGGGCACCCCGTATTCTATCTTGTCCTCCTGAGGCCTGACCCCATCTTCTATGTAGGGATCTAGGACAATGTGTGCCTCCCTTTACCTGTGCACAAGCTGGCTCGGTGCAGGAGCCGTCCAGCTGCAGCAGCAGTGGCCAGAGCCGGGCTGCGGGCAGGTGCTCGCCGCTTGCTGAGAGGAGCGAGCCCTAGATCTCGTAGTTAGAAGGCTCAAGGCCAGGAGTGGTGCCACACAGCCCAGAGCCCAGTGCACGCTCTGGGCAGGAGGATCATAGCCAGTTCAAGGCCAGCCTGGGTTACTCAGCAAGACCCTGCCTCTGAAAACCAAAATTTAAAGTCCTCTTTTGAGGTTTCTAATCCAAGTACAGTTGGGTGTTTTTTGCTGTTTCGATTGTGTCTCCCAAACATTTCAGGCTTGGGATGATGAATAAGTGTTGGCAGATCAATAATAGATGCCACACATTGAATTGTTTCTGTACCAATCCTGCTCTGTGTATGGTCTGGGAATTGCCCTCCATTGAAAAACTCCTGATCCCAGAGCCTTCTCCCCCCTGGGGCGTCCATTTACCCCACCGTCCATCCGATTGTGATAGCTCACAGCATGGTGGCGGTGCGCTCACGCTGCAGACAACCTGGACTCCCATCTTGCTGACTTTCCTGGCCGAGTTGACCTCTCCGAGCCTGTGCCCCTCCTCCGAGAAGTGGGCAAAGCAGTCCCTGTTCAGAGGAAGGAGGAACAGGTGGAGACAGTGTACTGTGGACAGCCCGGCTCAGGGAAAGTGCTCCTTGGAGAACTGCTGCGTCCCCAATCTAATGAGCCCTGGGGCTTCAGTCACTTTTGCTGCTCTAACAGATGGCCACATGGTTTATCTTCCCATCCCCAGGGGGCCAGAGGCCAACCCAAGCAGGCCTGTTCCTTCTGAACACTCAGGAGAGAAGCCATTCCCTGCCTTCTGCAGTGTCCAGAGGCCACCTGCACCCCTGGGCTTGTGGCCCTCACCTCCACAGACCACTTTCACTGTGTCTTCAGATCTCTGCACCTCTCCTGCCTCCTTCCTTTCCCTAATGAAAGCCCTTGTTGGGCCCAGCGAAGTAATCCAGGATAATCTCCCCATCCAGGAGCCCTAACCACATCTGCAAAGTCCTTTTGCCGTGCAGGGTGACATAGTCACGGGTTCTGGGAATCTGCACCTGGTCGTGTCTGAAACCCCTGTTCTGCCGGCCACCCGTCCTCCTTAGCCACTGGTCGCACCAGAGAGGTGGGTCTTAGTGTTGCTCAGTGAGCTGACCCCTCACTGGGCAGAGCATTGCGCACTGAGTGTAGCAGCTGGAGCAGACCTCCAGCCTGGTGCCCGCTTTGGTTTTGTGCACAGGAGCCCAGCAGAATCACCGAGACGGCGGGCAGCAAGGCCAGCAGCACAGAGAGCAAGCAGAGCAAGACCCAGCAGCTGAGAAAGGTGTTCCAAGAGTACGGGGCGGTGGCCGTGTCCCTGCACATTGGAATCTCATTAATCTCCCTGGGCCTCTTTTACACGGTGGTTTCAAGGTGAGGTTTGCAACTGTGATAAATGTTGGGTTTTTGTAGAAGATGCCCTCGGGATGAGAACTTTTTCTGAAGCTATCCATCCAGATACTCTTATCACATTGGCTTCTTAATCTGTGGCTGTAGTAATTGTTTTCTTTGCGTCTTTCCCTCCCAGTGGCGTGGACATGTCTGCCGTCCTGCTCAAACTCGGGTTTAAAGAGTCACTGGTGCAGTCAAAAATGGCAGCAGGCACCAGCACCTTCGTGGTGGCCTACGCGATCCACAAGCTGTTTGCGCCCGTGCGAATCAGCATCACCTTAGTCTCTGTGCCCTTCCTGGTCAGATATTTTCGGAAAGTGGGACTTTTTAAACCTCCAGCTGCAAAACCTTGATGAGTCCTTCAATGGCAGGCACTGAAGACCTAGTTTTAGACTATTACAAATAGGACTGACCTCGGATTGTGGGTTTTTCTGAGCAGAAGCAGGGAGCTAATTGCTGTGTTCTCATGGATAAAGTTTACCTTCACCACCAAAAGTCAGGCTTTTGAATAATTTGGGACTTTCTAAATTTTGCGAATGCTATTCGTCATAGGGCCGTGCAGGTCATCTGTGATGCTGACATCACAGATGACCTGCATGGCCCACAGATGCTCTCTGCAAAAGCCCCCGGGGGTTCCTCAAGCTCAGGTTCTGTAAAAACAGTGATTGATTTAGATGGCTTTTAAAATTCCCTTTCCACTGATTGGTTGTCAGCAGCCGGCAGTTTAATATTCGGTATTCTGCAAAAGAGCTTCCAGGGCTACAATTAACCAAGCAAGAATGAACAACATACGATCATAATCTAAATTAGCATCGGCCCTCTGATATTCATTACACTTGTTCTGGGAAAAGAAAACAATTCGGGTGTGTTTCACTGATTCCGTAACACTGTCAAGGCTGGGCAGCTTTGAGTTTGATGGATTTCCTGAAATTCCATTAAAGTAGGTCAGGTCATTTGTCCCTGTTTCCATGAGCTACGATCCCTTGCCCAATAGTAATGGTACATGTAGCTCCTGATGCTCCGCCCACCCTTCAGACTTTGGAGACCACACCTATGAGATGCTAAGATAGTCTTATCCCTTCTTAGACAATCTTTCTTTAATTCTTACTTTAAAACTTCAGACATTCCAGGATTGTCACAATGTTTACATTGTGTCACTACTTACATATATTTTTACACTGAACTAAAATTAGATACATGAAAGATTTGTACTGCTTCCCAGAAAAGAAAGATTAGTAGCACTTGTTATAAATGGAGATGAAATATTTATACCAGCTGGTAAGGAAAGGAGCTGGTGGGGATTAACCCACGAGCCAGTTTACCCAACAAAGCGCAAGTGTGTTAGGGAGATTAGAATTCACGCAGAGACCTAAACTTAGGACTTCCTGCTCCCAGCAGTGGGGTAAGACTTTTCTCTGGGCTTTTATACTCTGGGGATGTTTTACTAAGTGTGCCCTACAGAATGGTTGAGGGGATTGTGGTTATCTTCCCGGCTTGCAATTCCATCTTTAAAGATTATTTCTGTGACAATTAGAAAGCTAAGGAAACCATTAACTATTGGAGTTACTGAGCTCTGGCAGTAGACAGTCCCCTAGTTAAACCCTAATGACCCCAGTTAACACATAAAAGGATCTTTGTGGGACAAATTCTCCACTGTAAGACTACTTTAATGTGGAACTTTTTTTTTTCCTTTTAAAGCCATTGGCATATTGTCAAAGCTGGAACTTCTTTCTAGGATCTAATTCCCAGAGTTCTCCAGAGTCGTTCCATATGCCTGACGACACTAGTTATATCTTTTTCTATGGATGAGAGAGAGCTTTCTCTTCTCGTCTCACGTGTGTTCCCTTTGGGGCCCTGTTCCCCATCCGTACCAGTGCAAAATGCCTATGCAAAAAAAACTGATTGAAAGCCCCAAAGCTCAGGGCTGAAATCTCAGTCTCCGTGTGTCAGTGATGGGCATGGACTGCAGGGTGAGCAATAAAACAAATCACACCAAATAGCCATGTCCCTGTGTTCTAGCCCCAACCCCACTCCACTCCTGAGGCCAGTGGCCAAAACAGGAAAGGAAAAAAACCAAGAGGATAAGGTCAAAGGATCAGGGAACTAAAGTGTTATGTGAATTCACCAGCAAGATATACAGACTGCTTGTATTTACATTGTTTTTAATGGATCTAGGGTGTGATCTATTTTAAAAATGTAAACCAGTTTGCCTCTAATTTTTTAATCTGACAAGGTGAGCAGTTTAAGTGAAACAAACATCTTTATAAAGTTTGTGAAGTTTCTCTTTCTCATTCAATGTCTTAAGTCCCTTTTCTGTGCAGCTGTTTCAGGGATGGTCAGCTGGCCTTGAGGCCAGGTGGCATGGCACAGGAATTTGGTGGAGGAACATCCGCTCACCTCATAGCTCACAGGAAGCAGTTGAGGGAAGAACCGGAAGGGACACACATCCTCCTGGATCACGCCACAGTGACCTATCTCTTCCAGCCAGACCCCATTTCTTAGCAGCAGGTCATAGCCATACTGCCTTGCAATCCATCACCTTTCGGAACCCCACCTTTGAATGCATGAGGCTTATGGGGATAGTCAGGTATAAAACATAACAGCTAAGCCCTAACTGTGGCCAGTTATGAAAACAGCACTGCAACCTGGGCTCGCCTGTCCCTGCACCGTGAGCTCTTCCCTGAGTGGGACTCGGCCTGAGGACATGTCCCAGGCCCTATCAGTTACCACTGTAGTCACGTGGCACCACCATGGCTTGGAGGACAGCTGGGATGTGACTACTGTGGGACTATAGAAGTGGGCTCACACAAGGCTGGGAACTAAAAAAGCTTACTTGTCCCAAGGGGCACTAAAGTGTTAACTGTGTGTAAGTTTGACGGCTTCATCACTTGGACATAGAGGTTTATGCTGGCCACTGTAAATTCTGACAGAGCTGCCATCTAGTCTGCTGCATTCAGAGTGAGCCAGGGAAGCCTGTTTCTCTCCTAGTTGTGAGTTCAACACTTCTGCCTTCCCTTTATCACGTTCGTCCTTAGGCTGACACGCAAATGACATTGACAGCACAGACAACACAAGCTGGAAGCATGTCCAGCAGAGCAGAGCAGCATCCATCTGCTCATTCCCAGGCCAACGGGAAGCAGGTGGCGGAAATAATGACCCCTCCACTCCAGGTAGATGAGTGTATTTATTCAGACATTTACCAAGTTTGCACACATGCCATAACTCCAATGCAATAAAAACAGCCCTTGACATTTAGAAAGAGTTCTGAGATACCAGGTCACTCGTGTATCCCAAGCAATTCCTAGGACAGAGGTAGAGCATGTGTTCTTTTTTTATAGTGGTTGAGGACCAGAGGCCCAGTCAGGCTTACTAGAGCCGATCGACAACAAAAGCATCCCCCAGGGGATGCACAGAAAGCAAAATGCCATACGGAAATCTCTAAGATTTAGAAGAATCACATATCCATTCCAACACCTTTCCAGGTTGGACCACCCAATAAGTTACACACACACTCAGCACTCGAAGGTTCCTGTGTAGCACATGAGCCAGCCGAGTCCCGGGGAAGCGGTCACTTCCTGGACAACCAGACTGTGAGTTCTCACCCAAGGACACTCTGCCCACATGGGCTGTGCATATGGCTGCAAGTGAGCCTGGCCTCTGGAGGACACGGCTGGTCACAGCAGCATGATTCTGGAGGCAGTTCACAGTGTCACGTTCACCACAGGGGAGCTCTGCATGGGGAGGCCGAGGCACTGCGCACTTCAGGCTCAGGGGTGGAGGAGTGACATTTCCCAAGCTCCGGGAACCAAGCAGGCCATCAATAGTCACATATGTCTGGGAGCACATTCCCGAAGATTCCACAGCAGCCCCGGCCCCGAGATTTCTCCTGCGTGACTAAGATGATTTGCTAGCTGGTTCTTTGCTTTTCTGGCAACTTGATGGCTTGGTTGAATTTGTTGTGACCCCGAGATTTCTCCTGCGTGACTAAGATGATTTGCTAGCTGGTTCTTTGCTTTTCTGGCAACTTGATGGCTTGGTTGAATTTGTTGTGACCCAGGGGTGTTCGAGGACTTCACTAAGAGTCGGCCTCTGGCTTGGATTATGCTTTAACAGCCTTGAAATGAAGTCCCGGGCTCCCTCTGTCACAAAGTCAGGGAACGTGAATTCGACCTGGGGTATAAGTGACAAAATAGCACAAAACACAGGTCAGAGCCCAAAGTGCATAAATAGTCACACCTTCACCTAACGGTCTGCGGATACGGAAGAGTTCAGAGAGCGCAGCCGGACCCTCTGGGATGACGCCTTACCCGTGAGATCCTTTTGTAGGTCTCCTGGTGCGTGTGCGCCTCAAAAGGTGGCTTCCCGACCAGAAACTCGTAGCAGAGGACACCCAGGCTCCAGAGATCCACCTTCTCATCATGCATCCGGCCTTCGATCATCTCGGGGGGCAGGTAGTCCAGGGTGCCGCACAGAGTGGTCCTCCTAAAAGAGGGGGCTCAGGCTGATGTGTCCTGTCTGCTCATCGCGGCCGCTGCCAAATCATTAGTGCGCTAACAAGGAACCGAGTGGCCCCAGCCAGCGAGGCAGGTACCACCACAGACCCCCTCTGTAGACAGGAAACTGACTAAAGGAAACACGTAAGTCACACAGCTAGCACCCCGACCTCACACCAAGTCTGTCTAACGCCAGAACCTCTTGAAAAATCTAGGAGAAACTGAAATCATTTTGAAGGGAAAGCTGCCACACGGAGTTCTCTATAAATCCAATCTGAAGTTCTCATACATTTTAAGGTGGAGAGCCTCATCCAGATTAAGGGCAAAGATAGACCAGTGTAATGCCAATGCTGGACCTCGCCTGGGATTTAAAAACAGTGCCAAATTTCATGGACAACGGGAAATTTGAACAGGGATGAGACATTAAATAGTAACAAAGCTATGCGCTTTCATGGGAAGCAGAAGTTTCTTGTTTTTAGAGGATGTATATTGTGTTTAAGAATAAAGCATCATGTTAACAAGAGCACTGAGGCCAGGAAGCTAGGCAGGTGGGGCACAGGTCCTGATAATTAGCCTAAGGTGAACTAAAAGCCGGGCTTAACCATGAGGTAAGGTACCAGGGGGCCAACCTCCTGGAACACAAGGCACGCAGAACAGAAGAGTAAATAAGTTGCAGACTGGGGAAGGGAAATGCAAATGAAGCAGTGTCCATGGGACGGACCCCTCCCTGGCAAGGGCGAGTTTTCCCTCTGACTCTATTAAACACACACACAGTCACACACACACCCCCGCCCGCTTGCTGCATGCTGCTGTTCCGTCAGCTTCAAACTTCACCGCCCAAAAACAAGGGCCAGCTCACAGCCCAGGAGGGAGCTGGACAGGGCAGCAAAAAATTGCGCTTACTTTCCACTGTTCACAAAGCAGATGCAGGCAAGGTAGCCTAGGGTTAAGAACTGCTGAGCGGGGTCACTGCCAAGGCTGATGTGCTCCCCAAAGGTTGGGAAAAAGCTGAGGGTGGCACACGTCCCGCCAGGAGCAGACCTGGCGCTTACCGCTGCTCCATACTGCTGACGCCGACCTCCTGAGGCCGCGCGTGCTCAGCCCACGCACACTAAACTCCTCCTGACATCTAACCCCTCATCCACTCCGACTAACTCAAGGAGTTCTCGAACCAGAAAGCTATTAAGGTTATTAACATCCAAGGCTGACCACTTCAGAAAACTATGGTGATCCCCCTAGAGAGATTAATGTCCAGTGTAACCTGGTAGCCCCACGAAGCCCAGTTGTTCGCTGTTTGTCTCATGAGATCTCAACAGCTCCCACTGACGGAGATATAAAGATTGTGCTTTGCTGAAAACACACAAAATGATCTGTAACAAAAAGCAAAGGGTCTTCTCTTCCTCCCCCATATCGTTTATTTCGGGCTGTAAGTTTTTTTTCTAATTGGCTTGCAGGGGGAGGGAATACCAGGAATCGAACTCAGGACCCTGTGCTTGCCAAGCAGCTGGTGCCATTAAGTTACATCCCCGGCCCACTGGCTTTTTAAAAAAATTCCTCTGGTGATAATTTCTAAGTCCCTCAAAGTTGACAGGCCCTAATCAGATGCATGCTTTTGAATGCCCTGCTCATATGGGTATTAAATCTTACTTAACCCCAAATTAAATTTAAAACTGTGGAGACTATCTCAGCTCTTGTTTGGAAAGATTAAATTTCATTATGTGGCTGTCTCTGCCACAGCTGTAAGGGAGTGTGTATGACAGGGCAGGAGATGACACCAAGGAAAGCTGTTCCACTCCTGACAAGAGTAGATCACATCCCCTAACCCTCTCACAAGCTGAATCCAAACCAATTTGGTTTTCAAAGTTCCCAAAAGAACTGTGCTCTTGGCTGTGGATATTTGTACTGCTGTTCTTTGGATCTGTCCCCACCTTGTTCACAAAAAAACCAGACTCTCACCCACTAAAGCAGGAGTATTCCCCCTGCAACCTGCCTTTTAACTGTCACATACTTGTTTTATCTGTTGCCTTTGTATCCATTAACCTTGAAGGACATTAAGCCTTTTTAACTCCGGGCACAGAACACCATATATAGCCAGAAGTACTCACAAAATAAAATCGATACTAGTTCATTACCAGGCCTAAATATTCCAAAGTATTTCTGGGTGAGTCATCTGCCCCAACTCAGTATAAAATCTACTCTTGAATTTTTATATTTACGTCATGATTTGCCCTCGGGGCTTCTGCTGGACTGAGCAACTTACACCTAAAGTTACACACCTGGAGGACGGAGCATGCACTGACCACCCGAAATCTGCGATCTTCAGCTCTCCAGCTGACCCCAGCAGCAGGTTCTCTGGTTTAATATCCCTATGAATAACTCTCTTGGAATGACAGTAAGACAGGGCATTTGCCAATTCCGTGATATACTGTTGAAAAAAACATCGAAAGCCTGGGTTTTAGATTTTATAACAACAATATTAGATGTCTCTTCTGAAAGAAAACCCAACATAGATTTGAACGTGTTTTACAGGTTTTAAAGCAAACATTGTAGAAATCATGGGTAAGCATATATAAAAAAAAAAAAAGATCAATTGAACCAATTTATAGTGGTTACCATCAAGTTATTCATAGCTTAGTTCTCTCTTTGCTAGTACAGTAAGACCTCGGTTCACGAACGCTTCTGTCTGCAAACACAACTGCAGTTGTCTTCCCCATAATCATAAAACGAATTAGGTTCATAAACCGAGGCACCGCACCACTGCACAGCCGGCGGGATACTTAACAATGGGAAAACACTGATCACAAGCTGCGACTATACCCTTATGTGGCAATTTATGGCCCAGCAGCAATGAATTACAGAATTAAACAATGATAAAGAACTTGGACAAATGAAGGATTCAGATGTATAAACATCTTTAGTTTTTTTAAACTTTTAAAATGTTTCCATTTTTAAAGATCGTCTTATAACAAAATAATGCATGTAAAGATACAAATTTCAGGTCTATCAGGGAAAAAACTTTGCCCAAACAATAAACAGAAACTTGAAGTCCACCAGTGCGCTAGCAGCGCTGTGGATAAAGGCTCCCCAAAAGCCTGCGTTGGAGACTTAATCTAGAAGCAGCCACTCTGGAGGTGAGGCCGAAGGGACATGTTTCGGGGACAAGGCCTGCACCCTCACATGGCGATGAGACGCCGGTGACACAGGCTCAGCTCAAACTCCTCCTCCTGCCATGGGAAGACAGAAAAAGGCCACTGCCCCACACACGTGGGCCCCTGAGCGCTGAACTTCCCACCCCCAGAATTAGAAGAAACAAACCTACTCCTTACACACACCCAGCCTCCCTTCCACCCCGCTATGATGGGGCACCCAAGGCACACAGCATGTGGGGTCAGGACGTGATGGGGAGACTTTCAGAGCTCTCAGCGGTGTCGCATGTGCGCCGCTGCTTCACCACCGCGGGACTAGGAGATCGGAACGGCGGCCTGGGGAGCGGCCACAGAACACAGCCGCTGAGACCTGCACCTGAGCCATCGGAAAACAGCACCTTGGCCAAGAGAAAAACAGTAGACTTCGGGGAGGTGGAAGAGAGCTGACGAGAAAACTAAAAACCACAAGGACGTTAAAAAAAAAAAAAGCACAGTGCACTGGAAAGGTATTGAATAATTCAGAAGGCTCAGCAGGTCCTGGGAGCTCAGAGAGGTCTGGCCGTCCCAATCATGACCGGGCCAGCACCGCGAGCCCCAAGAGCAGTCTACAGTTACCGTACACAGCAAGAGCAATGTGGGATTTTACTCTAAAATTGACTCCTTCCACTCGGTACGCTAGAGGTAGAGAAGTCCAATACAGTGCCTGCCATGTTTGAAAGGAAGTAATCAGGAGACACTTTGGGAAGCAGCCACAAAAATAACTGTATACTTCAGGGTTTCCAGTGTCACCTACCACAGTGACTGGGTAAGAGATGGCCACAGGAGACAATCACAGAGAGGGCACAGGCTAGACACTGGCCTCCACAGAAGTTTAAGCTTAGGACAGAAAGGTTACAGAAACCCCACTCCCTGGTTCAGTGTTTGGCTTGCAGAGTCGGCTGGTCTGAGGGTGCTGGGATCAAGTCCAGGGGTCTCCGTGAAGCCCCACTCTATTGCCTACATCTAACACACAACTCAGTGGTCTCTGCTCTCCCCGACTACCAACATGAAAAGGGATGCACCTCAGTTTGGCCGTATTCACAGCCTGGTGTGAATGGACCCCAAAAAGCAAAGTCAGGAAAGAACTTCTCCACAGCACATTTAATGAAAATCACGGGAGTCTGACACAAGGACAGAATTTTAAAAGCTGTTATAGAGGCGAGGGTTTGGCTCAGTGGCCTAAGTACCTGCCTGGCAAGCATGAGGTCATGAGTTTGATTCCCAGTACCAGGGTAAAATATTAAAAAATTTTTAAAATGGCAGAAAAGCTGTTTTAAGAAAAGCAACAAATTACTTACTCAGATAGACACTGTAAAATCATAGCAGACTTCTCAACATGAATCTAAAAGCCATGAGTTTGGAGTGAAGTGGTTTAAGCCCTAAAAGTAACTTCCAACCCAGACTAATATATCCTGCAAAAGTATCCCTCGGACTTGATGGATAAATTAGTCTTTCCATGACCAAGAACACCTTAAATTCATGACCACCAAACCAGCACTCCAAACAACTTCTCCAAGATGTAAAAAGAGACAATAATGCTATGACAGGAACAAGTGACACTTTTCAGTAATAAATCTCAATGGGAATGGTCTCAACTCCCCACTCATAAAACAGACTGGTAGACTGGCTCAAAAAACAAAAACACCAGCATGCTACATACAAGAAACACATTTAATCAAAAAAGAAAGACTAAAAATCAAGACAAAAAAACATTTCATGTAATGGAAGCTCCAAAAGCAAGCAGGAATACCTATCCTAACTTCAGACAAAGTGGATTTCAAGCCAAAACTAATGATCAGAAGAAGCAAAGAAGGCCACTACATACTGGGTAAGAGAAGAATTCAAAAGTAAAAGACAACAATTGTAAACATTTGTGCATCTAATACTGGCACATCCAACTTCATAAACACTATTGCACATTTTAAAAATCAGTTAAATATCAATATAATTATAGTGAGAGACATCAGTACTCCGAAATCACAAATTGATCAATGAGACAGAAAAATCAAAGAAATATCAGAAAGGAACCACAGTTTCAAATAAATGGACTTCACCTGGCAACACCATTACATTCTCCTTGGGGGCACAGGTAACTTTCTCCAGAGTAAAACCACATACAAGCCCACAAAGTATGCTTAAATAAATGCAAAAGAATCAAAATTATCCCAAATGTATTACCAGTGCAAAAAGAAAACTACACGTTAAAGAAACCATAGAAATTATGCAAACACTTGGAAACCAAACATTATATTTTTGGATAATCAATGGATCACAGAAGAAATCAAGTAAGAAATCCGTCCCTCGAATCAAATGACTACACCAGCACAAACATGTATTAATAAAATTTTAAAATAAAAACAGCTGGGAGTGTAGCTGTGTGAAGGCCCTGAGATCAATTCCCAGTTACCCCCAACTCCCACAAATACACTCGAGAAATTAGGCATGGGCTATACAGAAAATCTGTGCACTATCTTAATGATTTCTGTAAATCTCAAACTATTCTAAAATAAAGGAGCATTAAAAATAAAGAGGCTCACTTTACATTTCCACAGAAATGACTGAAACCAACTGGGCCAAAATCTGCCGGTACCTGGTACCTGATCTAACCTGTGGATCGGATCCCTCTGAGCTGGTCTGCTTTCTCCATTTTGATCATTTGATTCTGTTAAGCTGTCTTTCCATTAAGTCAGAATTGGCCTGGGCTCCCTAAGCAAGTTAGAGGCTGGCCGGCACTGCCCAGCAAGACCCTGTCTCAAAAATGAGTAAATCACTAAAAATAACAGGGAGCTACAAAGATAACAGAATTACAGAATCAGTAGCCTGAAAATAAATGAAAACTTACAGTAGCAGTTCTCTGCTCATCAAACTTGGAGAGTTTCTGAAGTTCTCTATAGACTGTTCCAAGCGGGGCATACTCCAGAATTAGGTAAACTCTCGTGGCGTCGTGGAAGTAACCGTACAGCCTGAGGATGTTGGGATGCCTGCAACGGAACACTCAGCTTCGGAGCTGATCCAAGGTGATTTACAAAACACTAAAACCAATTTCTGTAATAAAACCACTAGTGTTTCCCCCAGACTCCCCCATGTGAGACTCTGAAACTACAGGAAAATACACACAAGCACATAATTTTGCATGTAAGTTTCAGTATCAGTGGACCTCAGCTTAAGACCATTATTGCCTTCTTTAGGCATCTTTATACTTAGAAGAGAAACTCAGCTAATATTAATTTCTGCATATTAAAAAAGGAGCACAAGCTGGGCATGGTGGCGCATGCCTATAATCCCCAGCACTCAGGAGGCTGAGGCAGGAGGATCATTTCAAGTTTGAGACCAGCCTGAATTACAAAGCGAGGCCAAGGCCAGTTTGAACTGCATAGTGAGACCTTGTCTCAAAAAAATAAATCAATAAATAAATAATAAAAAAGGAGCACAGTGTTCACACAGCAGTGTGACACGCACAGTACATTCCAGGCATGATGGTGTGTGCCTCTAATCCACGCTCCGAGAGGCTGAGGCAGGACACTCACCAAGCTTGAGCAACTTACTGACTTAACAGGACCTGATCTCAAAATAAAAACGAAACTTAAAAGGGGCCGAGGAAGGAGCTCAATGTGAAGGTTCGGGTTCAACACCCAGCCCCTCCAAAACAACAGAAACAAAACCAGTGCAGAGGCAGCAACTCCTGGGCCCTCAAATAAAAGGTACCACCCTCTCACACACATGTGCACACTCACACACACACACACACACACACACACACACGAAATGGTCCACGCGAACTACTCCAAGAATACAAAACTAAATCCTCCAGTGAATTCAGGACCACAGCTCCAGATCACCTCTCAGCGAGTGACAACTTCTATCACCCCGAGCAGGAGTTCAGACTCCGCTCTCGCGACCTGCACTCACCGGAGGTGGGACTGTATCTCCACTTCTCTCCTGAGCTGGTGCTCCACGCCTGCTTTCTCCAGCTGGGCTTTAAATAACACCTTCAGAGCCAGGATAAACTTGCTTTGTTTTTCTCTGGCCAAATAAACATTGCCAAACTTTCCTTTACCTAGCGGGCGGCCAATATCAAAATCTTCCAAAGTCCACTGTCTCCTGGAATAATTTCGATATTTTAAGAGTGAAGAAGGGAAAAGAAAATCTTTGCTAACGTTACCAATGAGACACGTTCTAGACACAGTCTATACTTTTATATGCAACCCTGTACTTAGTAGGGCCCTCAGCAAGAACCAGGCCAGTAACTAATGAGTCGCACACAGGAAACCCCATTTTTCCCAGGTGCGGTTAACAGAGGAGTCCGTGTGGACAAACTGTCAGGATTGCAGAGCAGAAGCTCCCAGAACACAGGAGTGCAGACCTACCCACAGTCCTTAAGAAAGACCACAAAGGGGACAAGCAGCTAGACAGGGAGGACCACAGATGGGGCTCTCCAAGGTTCCCACTGGGTCAGGCAGGAGACCAGAAGAGTGGGACTCTGGGATAGCCTGCTGTGACCTAGACCACCAAGTGCACGGGTCATCCTTGCCGTGCGCCTCATGCTAGAGTCCAGATCCGAGCTGAGGAGCAGACGTTCAGAAAACGGTCAACTGAGATAGCTTCCCCTTCTCAAAACACAACAAATACATTAGTACTAGAAGCCTTTCTTTACCTTTTCTGAAACAGGGCTGCACAGTCCAGGCTGGTGCTGAGCTTTTTAGTCCAGGACATTAAAAAAAAAAAACTTGTGCTCTTAGCCAGGTGTGCTGTGTGCACCTGTGGGCCTAGTACTGAGCAGGCTGAGGCAGGAGGGTGACCTGAGGCCAGCTGGGACAACTTCATGCAGTGGTGGTAAACTGAGGCATGCGGGCCGTTCGTTATTATTGCAACCCTAAAAGGTTCGCCATCACTGACCCAGTGAGGCCCCAGCTCAAACAAAAATGTGCACTTGTACTTTTGTACATGAAAAAACAAGAACTGTAGCTCATTTCAACCACATAGAGACATTTCTAAGGGCGTGAGGAACCTCACGCACTTCCTGCGATAGGGGATTAAAGAGTTCCCATAGCTAAATTTGCAACAAAACAGTGTACTTTAGTAGACTAATAGAGAACTTTATCAATAAATATGACAGCTTACCTTTTCGAGTCTTCATTTTTTGGTTTTGATTCCACTTCCTTCCCAGGGTTCCCTCCTGTATATAATAAGTTAAAATCCTGCTTTCAGAACAACTATTAAAAAAAAGAAGCACCATATAGCCTAAGTTTTAAATCTGACTAAAGAATGGCCTCCAAGATGGTAACAGTATGTCAAGAATGACGAAGTCTGGGCTTTTCACATTTTCTCTGTGGAAAAAAACAAAACCCTAACCTGACACTCAACCTAGTCTTTGCAATTTCTAGAATAAAGTAGAAACGTACACAGGTCTTCCACCAAAAATTTAGGACTGAGACTATTAAATAGAGACTCCCTAAAGCCTCAGTTTCCAAACAAAGAGCTTCTCGGGCACAAAGACCAAGCATCCCACCCATCTCGAGTGGGTACCTGTCACCCGCTACCTCTCCCCACCTTCAAGGGCCAGCATGCAAGTCACAGGACACAGCAAGACAAGCCGGGCACCCTCTTTCCAAGGGGAAATACAAAAGCCATTCAAGACAAACAAAAGCAAACAGAAACTATAAATGCAGGAAAATGTAAAGTTTCTCAGCAGGGGATGGGAGTTGTTATCTCATTAGCTGCAAAAACATGAGGTGTTTCCTCTTGTCCAGTACCTCAAATCCTAATAGCACAGCTCCTCTGTTCAGGCATCGACTACCGGCCCCCTTAACGGTTCACCATGCCCACCTATATGATCAACATCACCGCTGCGACGGGAGCCGAGGACACACCTCTCTCAAGAGCATGACTACGGGGGACCACAGGGCACCTCCTAGAGGGTTTCCGTGGCATCTTTTGGGCTGGTGATCTGGAGAAACTGCAGACGCAGGGGGAGCTCTGAAAGGCCGTCCTTCAGAGAAAGCATCTCTCCAGAGGAAACTGTCACTCGGAAGCAGCACTATCAGGAAGAGGCTGCCGAGGGACGGAGACCCTGCGGGGCAGCCTGGCACCTCCACGTGTCCCCTGCCCCTGCCCACCAGGGTGCCGGGGCCCATTCCTCTCCGAGGCCTCCTGGGAGGCTGCAGCTTCATCTACTGATCCTTTCTGAGTCTCCCGCTCTGCACACACACAGCAGTAGCTGTCCACCTCAGGTGACTTTATCAACCCATTGGAAACCTCCCGAGAGCGGCCTGCACCACCATCCGAAGTCCTGCCTGCCTCCTCCTTCAGGTCTAGCTCGGGCACACAGGTCTCCGGAATGCGCACCCTCAGTGAGCTCTCAAGGGTCTGCACCTTTCCGCCCTGGTCACCTCTTATTGTTGGCTAGCTCCTCTGTGACAATGAGTTAATACTGCTAGGATCTTCAGACAGTGGATGAGGAGTGAATGTGGCGAAGGAGACAAAGGAATCATGGCTCAGAATCTGCTGCAGGCAGCTGCAGCTGGGAAGCAGTACCATCGCCCCTGCCCCACCCAGCCAGCTCACTGCCGTCCCTGACCCTAGCCTCCTTCCCATCCAGTACTGCTGCTCTCCACCGAGTCAGCACAGCCCTGGTGGGATTTCAACAAGCCTCACTAGTCCCACCCTGCTCAAAAAACCTTCAGAAACTTCCAGACACACACGAGATGGAGGCTCACCTAAAACAGCTACCTGTGTCCCATTGCGACCTCGCTCTGGGAGCCCCACCCTGCTTCTCAGCCTTCCCCCATCTACCAGAACCCCAAACTTTTCACCTGGGACAAAGACTCTGCACCTGACCCACTTACAAGTTATCAAAAGGCCGTGGGTTTGATACAGTGCCCTCCCTGAAGGCCCAGTGCTTCAAAGAGGGTGGAAACGAGGTCCACGTTTTCAGGAGGTCTCGCCCCACAGACGCTGCCCCTTCTGCAAGGACATCATGCTTCCCTCTCACCCTCAGCACACGGGATGTAAAAGCCGGGCTCGGAACAACACACGCAGCCCACACACTTGCTCTCTTGGCAACAACAACAACAACACACAGAATCTCAGCTCACCGGATGCTGCCGGCTGGGACTGCTCGCTCTTCTGGGTGCTGTTCTCTGGCCGGGGGACAGGATGGGCCCCGCCGGTGGCCTGCAGTTGCTTCTGTACCACCTTCTGGCTACAGATGAGCTTCTGTGCTTGCGTGGGAACCCGCTGGGAGGAATTTGAAGGACACAAGACCCGCTGAGCCTGGCCACTGCCGCCGCTTTCGGACGATGGGTTCTGAGAGGGAGGCTGCTTCATCACCAGGACACGTTTCGGACCGTTCCCAAGAGGACCGGTGGCCTAGGACAGAGGGAAAATAAGCTTTAGGGTTCGCATCCATGAAAGATGAATGTGGCAGAGATCAACAAGGTTTGTTTTCCAGTGAACATCACTTAAATGGGGAAGCTATTATAAGAATTTCCAGAGGATACAGGTAGCACATGGCTGGAGACAATATTTGAATGCCTCCAATTATACACACGCACACTGTGATGGTTTGTGTCAATGTCCTCCCAAAGCCTCATGCAGGGAGCAGGCTTCTAGAGTTTGCCATTGATTCATGGTCCAGTGCTGGGATTATGGGCGTGAGGACTGGTAGCCTACACAAAGTATAAGGGAAGGAAAGAGGCTTGCTCTCTCGCTCCTCCCCTTTTGCTGGCTGTTTTTGCCATCTTCCATAGCCTTGAACTGTTGCTTCTCTGCCCCACCACCCTGTCTTGGAGCCAGCTGATTATGGACTGAAACCTCTACAACCTGTAAGCTAACTGATCCTTTCTTTCCTTAATTTTGAACATCCGGTGTTTGTTCTCAGCAATGACAGAAATGTAACCAAGACACACACATACAAAAATCAATTCCATAAAAATTGTTCATTATGCAACTTTCACCCAGTAAGAGACATGATGAACATTTTCTAAAAGTCTTTTTTTTTTTTTTTTTTTTGGCGGTACCAGGGATTGAACTCACGACCTCGCACTTGCCAGGCAGGCGCTTATGCCGCTGAGCTAAATCCCCAGCCCAAATCTTCAGTTTTGAGAATATACTAAATTTTCAAAATTTTATGCCAAAATCCAAAATCTCTATTTCACTGAAATTCGATAATATATGTGTTTAGAAATGTATAGTTATCTTCAAGTGAAGGCATTTGAAGAATCCTAGAATACGTAAAGCTTTTCCACAATAAGCTTATTACTATTTGCCAAAATGTTTCATTTCCACATACTTGAAAATTTGAGTTAAACAAAATGAACTTTGATAATCAAGAAACATTGGTAAGCCCTTCCAAAAGTTATTACACTACACACACTTAAACGAGAGGTGGGTGTGATTTCCTCCACCTTTTGTGGCCCATATGAGGAGCCACTGCTGGAAACCCAAGGCTCAAAGTCCATCACCAGATGTCAGCGTGAGTGCTGTACAGAGAAAGGATGTAGGACTTCAAAGACGGTCAGTTGTTTCTGAAACAGGCATGGTGGCCATGTAAGCGGGCACTCAGACACATCCCACAGTGCTGGAGGGGATCTATGGTCACATCACAGAGGAATTCCAGAGTTTTATAAACGTGACTGTGATGACAGATAGTTTAGTTTACCTTTATAGACCCTGAAATGAGGTTTTCTTTAGCTTTGTCCATGACACCTGCAAAGAAAAAAAAAAAAAAAGACTTTAAATAAAATGCTGGGCTGGGGATGTAGCTGAGCAGCACAGTACCTGCCTGACAAGGTCCCGAGTTCAACTCCTGCTACAAGACGAACCGCTGCTTCCCAGTGTTATTATGCTGAGTTGTTACAGTTCCCTGATGAAAACGCCTCCATGACACATGGAATTTTATTTAGACTTCTCCTTGCTCAAATGAAGCTGATAAAGAATCTTCTCACCTGATACACACAACGCACAAGTGCCTTGCTTTTCCCAGAAAGCCAACCCTGCCCTGCACACTGCACCCCACTGCATCCCAGACTTCAGCCCTGCCCTGCCTTCCGGCTCTGTTACCTTCCCTCTAATGGATCACTTCCCCCCTGCAATCCTGCTGGGAGACCTGCTACCTTGGAGTCCAGTCTGTCCCACAGCTGCCTCAAGCCAGGGCCCCATCTCTTGCCTCCCCTTCTAGTGGCAAAGCCCTAGCCCTGCAGAGGTCTCAGGTCAAGGTTGCCCCTTAACAATCCATGGGAAGAGTTTGCATCTCTCAGATCAGCTGCAACCTCTGATGGGCTAGGAAAACCATCCACTCTCATTTTTACCATTTTCCTCACACCAGGCCCCACACTATGCCCATCCCCACTGGGCTATTTTACACCTGCCCAAGACCAAGAGAGAAAGTGCAGACAGCATGAGAGCCTGGAAAGTCGCTGGGACTACAGATGTGCCCGCCCTGCTGGCCTGAATGTTTTAACCTGTTTTTTCCCCCCTTGCAGCAACTGAGTGCCCACCCGGGCACTGTACCACTGAGCTCCTTTACTTTGAGTCGGGGTCCTGCTACATTGTTGGGAATGAACCAATCTCTGGGAGACCCAGGAATCAGTGGACCTCCACTTCCCCGTCTATTCCCTTCACAAGGGCTCCCGTCAGATGCCTTGGCCTGGACATTTTACTAGAATAATTCAAAAACACAGCTTCTGCCCTAATGTCTTCCTCTGACTGCTGACTCAGGTGTTCAAGCAGCTGCTCAGGAGCTCCCAGAAACATCTGCCAGGCACCTCAGTCCTAACGCCTCCAAAAGGGAACCTCCTGTCATCTTGGCACTCTTTCTCCTCCCTGTGCGTGGGGTGCCCTGAGCTCAAAGCCCAGCAGTATGTTTCTGTCTACATTTGCTGTCGGGTTCACCCATTCTCCTATTCCAGTATCTAGTCACAGGCTGGAGAAGCCCAAATACCCACCTCTAATGCAGACCTCTCCCAAGTTCCAGACTTGACTTGACTTGTCTACAACATTTCCACCTGATTACCTGTGCAGTATCTCAATTTTGTCCTCGCCCAATCCTGTGTGTGGTTCTCTCTCAAACTCTGTAGCCAATCAATCAGCACATTTTATGGGCTCTCCCTTCAAACATCACTGCTCACCGTCTCCTCTGCCAGCTGATCTGACTAGAACTCTGTCCCCCGGATTATTTTCCCAGTGATTTCTCCACTTCCGTCCTTGCCCTACCGTGGTCCACGCTCAAAAACACCATTAGTAACCCCATTAACCCGGCACAGGTGTTGGTTCCTGCATTCAGAAGCTCCCCACCCTACCCCCAATCCTCAGCTTCATCAAAAACATTCAAACTCCAACCTGCAAAGACAGCTCTAGGAAGCCTCATAGAATGTAGACCCCGACCACCGCTCTGACTTCATCTCTTGCAAACAGCACATCAGCCACACTGAGTTCTCTGCCATGGGGCCTCTGAGCTTCCTCTTCCCACTACATGTAGGCTCTTCTAATTCCATTTCATCCCGGGCTCTGCTCAATACAGTATCCCCTTCCTCAATCATCTCACCTTTTCCTCCATATTTTCCACACCTGTTTACTGTCTCTCCCAACTCAGCTACTTACTGACCTTGTTTGGAACCTCCACAGAAATAATTAAATTCTTCAAGAGCAAAGGCTCAGTCCCACTGTGTTTACTGTAGCTACCCTGGAAAGTAGAACACTGCCTAGCATAAAACAAAACTGCTCTGGTGCTTTGGGAATGAGCTAATCCACTGACAGCGGAAACTGATCTTGATCGTAGCAGCAGGTTATCTGGGTGTGGTGGTGCACACCTGTAATAATCACAGCATTTAGGGAAGGTGAGGCAGGAGGATCAAAAAGTTGAGTGACTCCTCCCACCTCTAACAATGTAGCAAGAACCTGTCTCCAAATAAAAAAGGGATAGGGGTGTAGCTCAGTGGTAGATGCCCTGGGTGGATCCTCAGTACTGGGGAAGGAGGGGAGAGAACAGGTTAAAACACTCAAGCCAGTAAAATGGTACACATCTATAATCCCAGCTACCTGAGGCTCAAACGCTGTCTTTACCGTCCCACAACAATTAAAGTAGCAGATTAATTATCTCACATAGACCCAAGGACATCTAGTCAAAGCTATACACATTTGCTCCAATTTACTACGTTTTTTTTTCCCTCAGGAAGATGAACAACAAGTAGAGTGGAAAAAGATTCTGCTCTAGGATTCTGGGGACCTCCTCCCCTCCATCAGCCCCCAGGAAGGCTGCTCTTCAGGTGATTTGGATCTGCAACTGGATTCAGGAACCACATGACCAGATGATCTCCACCGGACATGTTCAGTTCAGACTTGGCATTTACTATATACTAAGGAGGAAAATTAACATGGATGATTCATACTTAGTTTTTTACTCCTTCACACCTAAAAAATGTCTCCAGAGCCGGAGAGGGACAAAGAAGTTCGCTGAGCCTAATTAAAAGAACAAAAAGTTGAGGGGTGAAAACATTTTTTAAAAAGTCAAGGACAACAATTACATCTGTCTCACTGGATGTCTGTTAGAGGGAGCATCTTGGCTCCAACTCGTTTAATCGGATAGCAAGCAGTGATAGGACCTAACATTTAATCAATGGTAAAAGCATAAGAATACTCAGGAGAGCTTGTTAATGAACGCCACCTGAGCCCTATCCAAAAGCGGTTCTAATTTAGCAGATCGGTAGAGGGGCAACATTTTAAGCCAGGACCTCAGTGCAAGAGGTTTGGGGAGCAGTTGAACGGAGAGGTTTTAGTGATCAGGGTCTCATGCACGAATTCACGCACTCACCTAGACAGAAGGATGATTCCTGTTCCCCGGATTATTTTCAAGAAAATCCCAGTGATTTCTCCACTTCCGCCCTTGTCCTAACGTGACCCACGCTCAAAAACGCCACCAATAATGCCATTAACCCGGCACATGTGTTGGTCTTGGGTTCAGAAGCTCCCCCGACTCCCCAACTTCATCAAAAACAAACTAACCTGCAAAGACACCCGGCTCACCCACTTTATCAAACCCCCTCAAGCACACTTGTTTTTCCTCCTTCACAACACCCACCACAACTGCAAATTATCCTGCAAGTTATCCTAGCTTCCCCAGCCCCACCAGTACGGAAATCCCGAGGCTGCATTACCCCGTTGTTCACCCATTAGAAACCCTCGAACCATTCAACAACCCTTTCCACTCAGCCGCGGCTCACGGAGCGTCCGGCACCCAGGGGCGGATGAAGGCGCCACGGACAGAATTAGAGGAAGGACGCCTCACTCCGAGCCTGTCCTCCCGGCCCGCAGGTCCTACACCCCCCAAAACTATCCTGGCCGTGTTCCCCACCTATTAACCCGCCGACCGTGCTGCCTCCACGTCAAGGTTCCCGAGTCCTTGCAAAAGCTCAGCCGTTATGATTCAAAGGTTCCTCTTTTTAAATGAGTTAATCTGAAAGCTGATTGGTCGGTGCTACAGGGAAGCTACTTCGTGATAGGCTCACAGAGAACGCGACGTCCTGATCACGTTCCGAGGCGCAAACGATGCGCAGGAGCACTAGCACGCAAGAGCCCGGAAGTGGTGGACCAACGGCCCGCCAGATCCAGGGACGTTCCAGCCCGGCCAATTGTCTCCACTGTGCGGCATTTGTCCGTGAAGCATCCCTTCGGCATGAGGATTGTCGGATAGGAGCTAAACTGAAGGGAAGTGAACAGAATTCTCGAACGTGCTACTAAGTAAGATTGGGAGAAGGGGAAGGGAGAGTGGGACGATCGACAGCGCGGCGCTCAGCAAGTCGTCCTTTGCGCGTGCGCAATGAGCGTGCGCTCCGAGCGATCCATTGGTCAGATACGCGCTTCCATTTTTCTAGGAGAGAGCGGGAGAAGGAGAGCCGGATCCGCGGGTACTGAGGTCCGGGGACACTGGGAGAGTGACTGATGTGGTTGGATGGGGCGTTTGGTGTACCACGTGAAAGAGTGGAGTGAAGCGGGAAGGGTCGGAAGCGAGCGGGGACGCATGCACCCCTTCGTGTATCCTTAGTTGCCGAGCTGGGCCTGCACACCCCCTTTCTCCGAGCGCCTCGCCACCCGCCGCTCCGCCTCATGCTGTGTTCAGCTCCGCGCCGGGTTGGTCGTGGTGTGTACGGTGGAGGGTTGTGTGCGCTCTTGCCCTGGTCCTCTTCTACCCCGGGGTCTGGGTTCTTCCTTCCCTCCCCTCGGGCTTCAAGGTCCTCACTTGCGATTTAGAGGAATTAGGCTTCTCCTAGCCTGGCGATCAGAGCTTCTAGCGGAGTCCAGAAGTTGGGCTCGACCGTATTGTGTTTGATCGGGGACTGAATCTTCTCGCTGTTACATCCCCAGCCCTTTTTTTTTAAAAAAAATTTTTTTTAAGACAAGGCCCCTAGGTGCAGCTCAGACTTTCGGCTCACCTGCCCCAGTATTCTCTAACCATACGTTTGTTCCGACATATATACATTGAATGCTTTGTTCATTGAGCTAACACTTTAAGAAATACTTAGCCCAGCATTTGGCAAATGGAAAGTGCGTAATATATGTTGTCACTGAGTTTGGTGACCCTCTCCTGTTATTCTAGCATTCTGGGAGGCTGAGGCTGGAAGATTGAAAGTTCAAGCCCCTTCAGGGCAGTTTATGGATTTATCAAGACTGTTTCGATAAAAAAGGGGTTAGAATGTAGCTCAGCGTAGGTGAGTTCGATCTCCAGTACCTAAAAAATCATTCCCTTTTATTGACACCCATCAGTATTGCAGTGTATAAGACCTCAGGCCCTGAGGTCACTTACATTCTTTATTGCTGTCCCTGAGCACCATGCAGCTTTCTGACATCTGTCCAAATGTGCGCATGAATGTGGATACTGATATTTGTTAATCATACCTACCAATTGGAATTCTTTTTTGAAACCAAAAGGCATTCTCCGTAGTTTTGTTTCCCTTTCCAATATTGAAGAATATTAACGCTTGTAAACACACCTGAGTGCACAATCTGTTCAGTTTTTTACATTTCTTTCCCTATTTATAATTGTTTTTTCCATAGCTTACTTGGTAGTATTTTATGAAGCAGTTTTCGTTCGGATACTGAGGATTGAACCCAGGGTTCACACTGCGCTACATTCCTCCCCAGATTTTTTTATCTTTATTTTGAGACAAGTTTTTTGCCCACTTGCTCAGGCCAGGCTCACACTTGCTGTTCTCCTGCCTCAGCCTTGCAAAATGCTGAGATTCCAGACATACGCACCTAGGTGTAATTTATAATTTACTTTTGAATTTTTCCAAAGTGCTCAACTTGGGTTAGCTTTCATACCACAGTAGGTTTTGTTGCCCTTGTGTGTTGATTTACTGTCTAAATAAATAACAGTACAAAATTACAGTAATAAATGTAGGTGCCTTGAAGCAAGTTCTAAGTGAACGCAATAGCCATTACTAGGCACACCGCTTAGCCGGCAGAAGCAGTAGTCCAGATATTCAGCAGAATAGCAGCTGTCAGCCTACTCCAAACACTAGTCAGTGTGTAGTTAACAGAAGAGATAGAAGATTCTGGGATAGTAAAGGAGAATAAAAATCCGCAGGTGGGCAGTCAGCAGAGAAGCTGATGAGAGATGATAGCCTAAGCACCAGTTAACATACTGGAATAGTGTCTGTTCCAAAGACGGTGCTCACTGCTATACTTTTCCAGTTTGCTTTACCTCTGGTAGTTTATTAAACAGCTGAGCAACCTGAGCTCAGAAAAATGAAGTCAGTAACCAACCGTGATTGAGGTCTTACAAGATGAAGTCTGACCAGAGTCCTGTGTTGCTTCTAATTTACTGCTGCCTCTGCCCTGCCCCATCTACCTGTTTTTTCTTTTTGCAGCTCACAGGGAAACAACCCTCTCTCCAAGATGTACAGAACCAAAGTGGGCTTGAAGGACCGGCAGCAGCTCTACAAGCTCATCATTAGCCAGCTGCTCTACGATGGCTATATCAGCATTGCTAATGGCCTCATCAATGAAATCAAACCCCAGTCTGTCTGTGCACCGTCAGAGCAGCTCCTGCATCTCATCAAACTAGGTACCTTGTGAATGCAGATCTTAGACCCCATGCTGGAGCTGTAGATATTTCCACAGAGAGTATCTTTAAGGCTATTGCTGTGTTTGTTCCTGTCTAGTGTACATCAGGTACAGTGCTGGTATTGGAGGGGTAAGTGGAGTCAAACTATGAAGACTTGAAACTGGTGCAGTATGTTTATACTCGTTATCTGGAATACTCAACCTCAGACCAAACAATCACATGTGCCTACTCTATTTGAGGTGGTAATGCCAATTGTGAAAGTGTATCCTGAAGAAATAAAACAGAGAAACTAAAATGCCAAACAATAAGAAATTAGCTGTGATTGTTAGTATCTGTCAAACTGGTTAAAACAATGTAACATTAGATAAATGTTTATTAAGCCAAAAAGATTTTTATTCTGTACAATTAAATGAACAAGCAAGTCACAGCAGTGTCCAGCATCAGTGCAGTTGCACACACCTGTAATCCCAGGACTCAGGAGGATGAGACAGGAGGAATATCACAAGTTCAAGGCCAACCTGTGCTACATGGAGAGTTCAGAGACAACCCTGAACTACCTAGTGAGATGCTGTCTCAAAAACAATTTTTTTGTCTTGGTAAACTTGCATTTATTTAACTACTAGTTCAGAAACATTTCACTCACATTCACAGTGTCACTCATAAGTGCCTGCCTTGCAAGCGCACAGTGGTGAGTTCAATGCCCAGTACCAAAAAAAAAAAAAAAAAAAATTAAAACTCAGAATAGGAAAAAAATGCACCCTTTAGCTGCAGAGGTGCTGTCTTGTCGAGTTTCTGTAGTGGTGTTTTTTTGTTTTGTTTTGTTCTTTGTTTTTTTTTTTTCTTTTGTCTTTTTCCTTTTTATTGGTACTGGGGATCGAACTCACAACTGCCTGCTTGCAAGACAGGCGCTTATGCCGCTGAGCTAAATCTCCAGCCCCCTCTGTAGTGGTTCTTAAAATAGTAAGCCTTCACGTTAAGAAGGAAAGAAAGTGACTCTGGCTGTGGGAGCCTGAGCCTGCACTGACACGTGTTTCCTCGTGGTCCTGTGACCTTTGCACGGTGTGGCCATGCACAATTATTTTGTCGGGCAGTCGGTGTCCCACAGTGTCAGAACACCCTGACTCCAGAACTTGTTTCTTTCCACACTCTTAATTTTGATTTTTCAGGCATGGAAAATGATGACACCGCAGTTCAGTACGCAATCGGTCGCTCAGATACAGTTGCCCCTGGCACGGGGATTGACCTGGAATTTGATGCAGATGTCCAGACCATGTCCCCAGAGGCTTCTGAGTATGAAACCTGCTATGTCACCTCCCATAAAGGACCGTGCCGCGTAGCCACGTACAGCAGAGATGGACAATTGATAGCCACTGGTTCTGCGGATGCTTCTATAAAGATACTCGACACAGAAAGAATGTTGGCCAAGAGTGCCATGCCAATAGAGGTGAGGTGCCTGGCCGCACACCGGCTGCCTCTATGGCTCATTCTCATAAGCATAAGAGTGTGGTTTAAACCAGTTTGGCGTACTGTAGTTGTGAATCATGAACGGGCTTGGAGCAGTTTCTTGTGTCTTGCATCTCTCTCTCTGTTCCTGTAGGTCATGATGAATGAGACTGCACAACAGAACATGGAAAACCACCCGGTGATCCGAACTCTCTATGACCATGTGGATGAAGTCACGTGCCTTGCTTTCCACCCAACAGAGCAGATCCTGGCCTCTGGCTCAAGGGATTATACGCTTAAATTGTTTGATTACTCCAAGCCCTCAGCAAAAAGAGCCTTCAAGTACATTCAGGTTAGGGACGTTTTGAAGGGCGCTGTGGGTTTTATCCTAATTACAGGAAGCTTTTAGATGACTTTTAAAAGCAATTTCAGAGATCATCCAGTAAAAAGAGTACAGCAGCTTGGAACCTACCCGAGTAGCACGAGGGTTAGATTTCGTTGGTACATAGCTCAGACCCTGCCCCGAGCCTGCGTCCTCTGGTCGGCTCATGGGACAAAGATTCATGCTCCACGTTGCTCTTGAAAGATTGCAGATGCCCGTTAGAAACAAACTGTCACCTTCCCTAGCAGTGTAAGTTACAGGAGCAGACAAAAGCACTCCGTGCAAACTGTCGAGCATTTTGGAGAAGTGACCTGGGTATTCTGAGCACGCATTGCCAGAATATTAATGCTGTAGCAGCAGTGGCCTCCGTTGGGGTTCAGTACTCAATGCTCACATCCCCGGAGGAAGCTAAAGAAGCTCTTGCCAGACCTGATAGTACGTGTCTGTAACCCCGCACTGAGGAGGCTGAAGCAGGAGGATAAGTGCAAGGCCTCCCTGCACTACGTAGTGAGAGCCTGACTCAAAAAACTGGGATAAGAGAGGGGGAAAGGAGGTATTCTTACCACCAAGTGTGTTTATTTCCAGTAACTCGCAAGTGCGCCGTAGATTAACAACCATTAATACTGCATTCTGAGTTCATTTGTAGATAACCTTGCTCCTGTGAGGTGGGGAGGGATTAACCAGTAAATACATACTGTTGGAAATCTCTGCTCGGGGCTGGGGATTTAGCTCAGCGGCATAAGTGCCTGCTTTGCAAATGTTTGGTCGTGAGTTTGGTCCCTGGTACCAATAAAAAAAAAAAAAAAGGAAATCTCTGCTCAAAACAAATTATTCTAGAAAGTACTTTTGTTCCTTCTGCTACCGGTATCTGGCAGTTTTCTGTAGCGTCTCTGTGTCAACCACGTAAGTCCCTTCGGCGGGTCTCCGGTCACTTATGTCCCTGTCTGTCCTCCAGGAAGCAGAAATGCTGCGGTCCATCTCTTTCCACCCCTCGGGAGACTTCATCCTCGTCGGCACTCAGCACCCCACCCTGCGCCTCTATGACATCAACACCTTTCAGTGCTTTGTCTCTTGCAACCCTCAAGATCAGCACACCGATGCCATCTGCTCAGTAAACTACAACCCCAGCGCCAACATGTACGTGACTGGCAGCAAGGACGGCTGCATCAAGCTGTGGGATGGCGTCTCCAACCGCTGCATCACCACCTTCGAGAAGGCGCACGACGGGGCCGAGGTCTGCTCTGCGATCTTTTCCAAAAACTCTAAGTACATCCTGTCAAGTGGAAAAGACTCGGTAGCTAAGCTGTGGGAGATATCGACAGGACGGACGCTGGTCAGATACACAGGTATGTGGGGAGCGGGTACTGTTGCCACTTGGTAGCGTTTTGTGCTTCCTGAACTCTCTTAGAGCCTTGTATGGGAGCAACACGATAAACACGTGCTTCGAGAAAGAGATGTGAGCCGTATCCAGCCGCCGGCGCCAGAACCTTGGTTTTACATTGTTTTGCCAAGCTGCAGTCAGAGGAAGAGCCAGGAGTAAATCAGGGTTTCTCAGCTTTGCTCTTCTTGGTGGTCACAGCTTAGCACAGGGACGGAGAGCCCGTTAGAGCCTTCAGTGACACAGGCAGCGCACGTGACATAGGTTTGGCACCGCTGGCTCAGAGCAAGCCTTGACTGCATGAAGGTTGCTTTTAAGAATCTGGTGATCACCCTTCTCACACCAAAGCGTGAACGCCGCCCAGAGAGCAGCCTCAGTGGGTCAGTGGGTCTCGGCAGTGCGCCAGGGAGGAGGGACTGGGGGGAAGGTGCTGGCCTTTCCGTAAGCAGACCTGGCCGCCAAGTGAGATCGCAGGTGTCTGAACCCAGGTGGGCTCAGCAGACAAAAAACTAAAATATGTATTCTCCTCTCAGTAATGCATGTCAGAGTCCATCACCGGTAAGGAGTATGCCTCGGAGCTTTTTTTCATAACGAAGCTCCATAAATGTGTCTGTTCACTGGAAGGGTTCAGGGAGCACCTGGTTGGTTGCTGGTGAGTACTGTTGGAATAATGTGTCTTACCCACTTCCTGCAGCGGCAGAGGTTGTTGCTTGGTAAGAAGCCTCCAGGGAACTTCCACTGGTTCTTCTCTTGTGAGAAGTACTTGTGTCACATACTAAATGCCAGGATCATAGCTCCAAAATTCTGTAATCCAAACACTGTAGGAGGGTCTGCACTTTGTGAGCCTCTTAAGAGCAGACACCTGAAGGGCGGAGACACTCGGGCCACTAGGGTGCAGCAGTGTCTCCTTGTGGCCAGCGGTCCCTTCTCTGCTGGCGTCCTGGCTTCCTGTGTATTTGTGCACCCAGCACAGCTCTGGAAGAGCTTTTTTATCCTCATTCGTGGTGACGATTGAAACAGATATATGAAGCTATTTTTAAAATATGTGTCTCACTACTTTAAAAAAAGACACAAAGGGATCAGAGTGAGTGAAAGTGTCCCCTTCACAGGTGATGACCAGTTGTGGGGAGTGCACCGTGGACAGGCACTCACCACACTGCTGACAGAGCTGATAGTTGATGAGTATTTGAAATGTTTTCAGCACAGTTTGCGTTGGGTAGGTTTATACTGCTGAAGAATTGCAAGATGATTTTTCAAAAACAATTGCATTGAATTATATGGAAAATTCTTTTTCTAATTCCCTGTCATGTCAGCACTGTTAAGGTTTGTTTTATTTCTAATATTTAGAATTCAAAATATTCTTGAAATAATACAAGAAAAGGAAAATATCAAGGCAACATTAGAAATGTGTGTTAGATGTAGTGGTGCACGCACACAGCCTCAGCCGCTCGAGGCCGAGGCGGGAGGGTTCCAGTCACAAGGCCAGTCTGAGCACCGTACTAGGAGATCCCGTCACAGAGTAGAAAGGAGCGCAGCGTGGCGGCAGAGCACCCAGGCCCAGGCTCGAGCAGCACTCTGCTCGAGGCACATTCATACGGCTTGTTGCCAGGCAGCTCTGCCTGGACTTGGATGAGCCCACCGGCTGGAACCGCGACTGTCTGAAAACACGGGTGCTGCTTTGGCTGCCAAAACAAAGCCAAACATGTCAGGACGTTTTGAGTACCCTGCGCAAATCAGCCACCTTCACGTGTGAAATGTTTTAAAGAAATTCCATGAATATTAGTTAATTTAATGGAATGAATTTGTTGGTTATTGTAATAATTTTTAACTGGTATGATTAGTATCAGTACTTATATTTGCGCAGTAATTTCAAATTCAAGCAGCTAACTAGAATTGGCCCCTTTATAGGTTTTTTTAAAATTAATTTTATTAATGAAAAGGATCAAATAGTTAGATCCATTTATCCCACAGTCCCTCCCTGAGGGCAGTCGTGTGTGTCACTGCTGCCGCTTCAAGCTGGCAGGGATGAGTGAGTCCCATAATTGCAAGAAAGAGAAAAGGGAGCCTGGGGATTTAGCTCAGCGGCATAAGCGCCTGCCTTGCAAGCAGGCAGTCATGAGTTCAATCCCTGGTACCGATAAAAAGGAAAAAGACAAAAAAAAAAAAGAGAGAGAAAAGGAGCGACAGGACGAAGGGAGGGAAATGTGATCCTAAATTAACTGTAGGGGTAATTAAAACGCCGAACATAGTACACAGATGTGCTTGTACGAATCCACCATAAAAATGCATGTGTGCTTAGGGAAAAAAAGAAACGTATACATATTTCATTATTAAATTTATTGAGCCATCATGAAATTAATAAGCATTTCCTTCAGCCTCTACAGTTACAAAAAGTGCTCAGAGTGGTGCCATCAGCTTCCAGCAAGCTGCTGCTGGGGTTGCATACTGAGGTGGCCGCACCTGCGTTTACAATTTCTTTGAGCAGCATGGTGTGCGCTCTGTAATACCCGACATCCTCTAGGGACCCCATACAAGGGTGGCATCATCTGTTGAAAAGACGTCATACTGGTTTTCTTTCTCTGATGTATGTGTGCATTTTTTTTGGCAGACCATATCTGCATGTTTGTCAGACAGTTTTAATACTTGTAACCTATGGAGACACCTTGTTAAGCAGTGTAATGGCAAATGCTGTAATCCCGGGACCTGTGCTGGAGACACAGGAGGGTCACAAAGTTGGGACCAGCCTGTGCCACCTAGGGAGTCCAAGGCTGGCAGGAGCCACACCGCAGAAAGCCTTGTCTTGGGGAGGAAGAAAATAGCAATCAGCACCCGTAACTCCGGGGAGGTAGAGACGGGATTGCAAGCTGTGCGGGTCACGCGGCAACCCAGCGAGACCCCGCCTCAGAAGCTCAGGTGTCTGCTAGGTATGAGATGCCCACCTTTTCTGTACACCCAAAAGGTGAACATAGGGGTGTCTTGCTTTCTGTTTTTGTGCACTAGATTTCAGGAATGTAAAAGATTAGGATCCTCTACTGTTAATGAGGGTTTGAAGAGGTCAGGATCTGATGGCAGGAGGGTCACTGGGTGGAGAATTTCTGCAAGGCAATTTGGTGTCATACGTCAAAATCCTCAGTGCGGGTTCTGTCCCAGTAGACCCACCCTTAGAAATTCAGCCGGAAAGGTAATTGAACAAGCGGGTGTGCGTGCACTAAGGAGGTTCCCCCGCTATCCTGGGAGTTGTTGAAAGTCATACACGGGCCAGTGTCCTCCAAGAAGTGTCAAATAAATCTGCTGGGCTTCCCTTGGCTGCCGCAACCTTAAAAATAGGGACTTGCAGTCGCAGTGTTTTGAGCCCTTGCCTTCTGTGTCACATCGTGAATGAGTGTAGAGTCCGAATCTGAACACGGTCTGGTTCTGATTCACTGTTACAGATCAGTGCCGCCTGCTTTTAAGAGGAAGTAACCTGTAGCAAGTGCTCAGCCTTCCGTCACATACAGAGGCGTGTAAAACACATCCTGGCCGGGAGGGAGAGCCTCCAAATCCTCAGCGCTATTTCTGGGTGGTAAACCTCCTTGCGCAGTTTTAATTTCTTTTTTTAAGCTGTGTGTATGTGATTGAAAGTAACATATTTTATTAGCAGGATAAGGTGTGGTTTCTTTTCGGAAAGTGAACGTTCATACCCTTTGTCCCGCCGGTTCTTTTTTCCTAGGGATTCAGTTTTAAAGAAATAAACTATATTGGGCCGGGCATTTAGCTCAGCAGGATACATGCCTGCCTGGCAAGCGCAAGGTCGTGAGTTCAATCCCTAGTACCCTAAAAATAAATAAATAAACAAAGTATACGGATAAAGGGCGTTGATGGCATTGTTCACAAGTGAGGACAGGGTAAACACCTAGCGCAGGGGAACCGTGAGGAATGGTGCTGTAGACCCGGACACTGCAGCCAGTAATAAGACGCACAGATGTATGGGCACAAAGTGGGCTGAAGCCATTGTAGAGAGCACACGTGTTCCGGGGTTTAAACAGCCGCAGAGTCCGTAGCTTCCGCGGCTTTGTGGTGCTGTTTTTGCACGGAGAGGATTCAGAACCCTGACGGCCGGGGCGTGCGCCGGCCCTGTCCCCTGTCCCCAGGCCCCTCACCTCCTGGCTTCTCTCGCAGGCGCGGGGCTGAGCGGACGGCAGGTGCACCGCACGCAGGCGGTCTTCAACCACACGGAGGACTACGTGCTGCTGCCGGACGAGCGCACCATCAGCCTCTGCTGCTGGGACTCGAGGACCGCGGAGCGCAGGAACCTCCTCTCGCTGGGCCACAACAACATCGTGCGCTGCATCGTGCACTCGCCCACCAACCCCGGCTTCATGACGTGCAGCGACGACTTCCGGGCGCGCTTCTGGTACCGCCGGTCCACCACCGACTGAGCCTGACACTGAGCCTGGCCGGCGGCCACCGGCGCTGCCCCGAGGACCCTGCCCCCTCTGCAGTGAGGTCTGCCACCGCCGCCTGCGTCCTGGATTGCACAGCAGTCTTTTTTTACCTTGATGTAGTATCATGGTGGAAAACAGATCTGTGCGGTTCTACATTCACTGATTATTACAGTGCGATTTTTATCGGTTTTTTAACACCTAGGACTTGCCGTTTCTCTCGACTCTTCGTGGCTTGGGAAAAGGTAAAATATTAAAGTGCTTTCTAGATCTCAAGCGAAGGTCATGAGTATGTCTTGTTTGGTTCTGTGTCAGCTTGCGTGCCTGTTTGGCTGCGGCCTCTGTTATCTTTCCAGACATGCCTGGGGCATGCGTGGGCCTGCGAGAGTGAAAAGGGGGAGCTGTGAGCCGCGCTGAGCCATGTCTGAGAGCTGCTCAGCGCCACCCTGAAATGCATCACTGCCCTAACGCCCAGGTCGCCCTTACTGCTGTGCGGCTCTCACTGCAGTGAGGTGAGTGCAGGGCGTGCCGGAGAGGCGCTGGATCTGCCATCCCGCCTCCCACGGCCGCTCGGCACCCACCAGTGCTGTCGTTAGCAAGAGTATCTCTCTAAGATGATTACAGGTGTGTGGGAAGCACAGCCAAGAGTGTGTTCACACTAAACACAGGCAGGGGCAGGCCGTGGCGATCCTCCGAGAAGGTCAGCGCATTCACCTCTGTCCTGCTTCCCTTTGCACCTTCCGGCTCCGCAGCATGGCTCTCGTCACAGATGCGCGGAAGGCCCTTCCCCGCAGCCACTCAGCTAACCTCTCACATGGAAGGTTTTTCCTTGAAAGTCTTTAGAAGGTGATAATATTTTTCCGGATTTAGTTTTGTCTAGGTGAGAGAACCCTGCATTCCTGGCTTAGATTTACGCTAGCAAACAAGTACCTCATGCCCAAGTCCCATGGTCTGGGATCATTTGATGAAAATGCTGTACGTTAAAGTCATAGCTTATATGAGGTCTGCCGTGCTTACCTTCTTGGCATCCGTCTAACTCTGGCCTGAAAAGCCGTTTCAGCCATTCTTAACACGTTAAAGGGCTGAGCAGATTTCCGCAGAACTGTTTGGGTCCACAGTGAGTGTATATTTACAGTTTTATTTTGCATCCGCATTCTCCATGAGTAGTATTTGAATTTGGCCCCCTGTGGATACTACTTCAATGAAATTAAAAGAAAGCTGCCCAACAGGAACAAAGATAGTTTACCAAAAAATGACCCAGCAGAACTCCCCACTTCTTTCTATACCTTCCCGTTGTTTTCAAAGTATGGAACTGCCAGGCAGAGACAGTTCTGCGGCTCCCTGAGCTCCTGACACAGGAGCTGTCAGGTCCTCTTTAGTTGTTCATAAAGTAATAAAGCCTACTTTTCACAGTTTTAGACTAGGCCTCGCAATAGCCCTCCAGTTCCAGGGCTTGACATTTCTTTACAAGATCTATTTATAAAATAGTTTTTCTTTTTTTGTTACTGTTTTTTGTTTTCCTTTTAAAAATCACATTAACTTTTGAGCTGGTATAAATGCCAGGAGTCTGCACTTGGTGTTCTTATGAATTGTACCAGGTAACACCCTAGCGTCCAAATAATGAATTCTATCCTATCTGAGTGAGAACTCACACCGTATATGTTATTTTTAAAGTATGTGATTTCTAAAATAAACGTTTTGTACATAAAGTTAAGCTTTCAAAGTGTTTTCGTTTGTTTGGGGGAGCTTGCTTTGGGTCTTCCGTGTTTTGACGTCAATTCTCAAAGTGACCGGCACTGGTCACGTCCGGAGCTTGGTTAGAAGTCATGTTTGTAGTTGAATAACCTCCAGCCCTATCTGCACTTTATGCTGGGTTTTTCATAGGAGAAATCACGTGGTGTTTAAGTTTGTGTGCTTAGCAGACTTTTTAAATGTGGCCTCTAGGCACACGTATTTTTCTACAAATGACAAGTTTATGCGTTATGGCAGGGTAGTACTCCACTGTGCGTGAATACCACATCTTTATCTGTGCACCTGTTGGTGGGCATAGAGGCTTCCAAGATTTAGCTATCATGAATGGTGTGGCTATAAATCTGAGCATGCATGTGACACTGTAATACCATGTCTTTAACTTTTGGAAAGAAGCCTAAGGGGAAGAGTGGAGTCAGTAGTTGCTAGTTTTAGAGGCTTTTTTTTTTTTTTAGGAATCTCTATACTGCTTTCCATAGTGGTTGATCCAGTTTACATTCCTACTAAAAATGGAGAAGGGTTCCTTTTTCCCCACAGCCTTGCCAGCATTTGTTTTTGATTTTTCTGAGGAGTAAGGTGGAATCTCAGCATTGTTGTAATTTGCAGCTCTTGAATGGCCAGAGATATGGAACACTTCTGTGTGTCCATTGGCCTTTTGTACTCCTCATCTGCAGTGTCTGCTCATTTCAGCTTCTGTTTTTTGATTGGCTCTTTAAATTCAGGGGAGGACATCCAGTTTTTCTGAGTTTTTATATATTCCAGAAACCAGTTCCCATTGCTGTGCAGAAGCTTTTTAATTTGATGTGATACCAGTTGTTGATTCTTGGTACCTTGATTGAGGAACACTTCTGTTTGCAAACTGCATCAGTGACAAACATGACGTCAGCCGTTTTTGCCGCAGAACACAAACATGGCCATCTTTTCAAAATTGTAGAACAAATGAGTTCGTGACTTGAGGTCCCACCATATTCCTCGTGTGGCCAGGGCTCTGTTCAGTCTTTGTGTATAGCTTTGTCTTTCAGAGTTTTCCCAGTTTTGTGTCCCAGCACTTGGTCAAATATGAGTTAGCTGAGTGTGCCTGCGATTTGGTTTGCTTTGGTTTTTCTTTGCAAGTTCCTCACAGGTAATTTACTCACATCTTTTTCATGCTGGCATTATTTGACAGTGGGAGCTGTGTAATTTCTTCCTTAATTTCATCAGTGATCCATTGATTATTCAAGAGGGTATCATCTGATTTCCAAGTGGCTGCGTATTTTCTGTGGTTTCTTTTGCCACTGATTTCCAGTCCCATTGCACCGTGATGTGATAATATGCATTGGATAATTTCAGCTCCTTTGCATTTACTTGAGCATGCTTTTTGGACTAGTATGTGGTCTATTTTGAACAAAGTTCCATGTGCTACTGCAAAGAATGTATATGCATTCTTATTTTCTTGTGTCCACTAGTTTATAATTGATTACACCAGTATATGTTTATGCATATATGTTTATGATTGTTATCTCTTCTCATTGAATTGCTCTCTTAACCAATATTAATGATTTTTTTTGTCTCTTCTAATCAGTTTTGTTTTGAAATCTATTTTGTCTGAACTTACGAGTTACTTCTACTTTTTTCTGGGTTCTCATTGCATGAAATAATGTTCTCCATCATTTTATTTTTAATGTGTGAGTTTCTTTTTGAATTAACTTTGTTTCTTGTATATTTGTATATACTGCATAGGGTTTGTTTCTTGACCCATTCTGTCGGTCTGTCTTATGATCGGGGAATTGAGACCACGCATGCTGAGAATTATCACTGACAGGTCCTGGCTTACTCCTGTCATTGCATCATTTCCCATGGGTAATTGGTTGTTTTGCCTAGCTGCTCATTCTCTTTGGTGCATTCATTCCTTTTGACTTATTGGAATTGTTAGCTTCAAAGTCCTCTTTCTAGAATAGCCTTGAAAAAATGTTTAATAATAGTTTGTTAGTCATGAATTTCTTGAGATGCTCCTTACCACGAAAATACTTTCTCCATCTGTTCTGAAGGAAAGTTTTGCAGAATACATAAATTGAGGTTGGAAACTGTTGTCTTTTAGGGCTTGAAGTACTTCTCTCCAGGCCCTCTGAGCCTTTAGGCTTGTGCTGAGATGTCTACTGTAATTCTAACGGGTTTACTGTTGGGTGTGGTTCTTTACCTTTCTCTAAGTGCTTTTAAGATTTGTTCCTGTGATGAACTTTCGGTATTTTGAGTGTAGTATGGTGCAGAGCTGTTCTCTTTTAGCAGAGGCCTCTCAGGGTTCTATATGCCTTCCTTATCTGCATGTTTATTTTTTTTCCATACATTTGGGAAGTTTCCTGCTATTATTTCTGTCAGTAGGTTTTTATTGCCATTTGTGTTATCTTCTGATTTTTCACTTATTCCCAATTACTCTTTAATTTGCTTTTTTGTACCATCTAGGAACTGTCTGATCCATTTTCCATGTTCTCTTGTTGCTTTTAAGGTGTCTGCATAGTTTGTCTTTGAAGGCATTGTTTTTGCTAAAGTGGTTGTGTATGTTTTGTGTCATTTTGTTTAGCGCATTCAGCTTTTAATTCGAGTCTCCTGAAAGTTCCTGAATCATTTCAATCATTACCCCGTTACCTGGGTAGCTGTGTCTTCTGTGATCCTGCGGAGTACCTTTCTGATCTGTTTTCCAGCCTCCTCTGTCATCCTTTTAAGGAATTTGGATGTGTGGCTTTCTGCCCTGCAGCACCCTCTGGGTTGCTTCCAGGGAGCTGGGGGTTTGGGTAGGCATTTTGGTGCCATGTCTTCTCATATTTCTGTTGTTTGTTTTGTTTTGTGCTGTGGTTTTTGGATGCTTTCTGTGTAGAGACTTTGTTGCTGGTATAGCGATGTCTTTAGTTAGTCACTTTTAAGTAGTAAATTTTGGACATTGCTAACTATAGTCCTTAACCTCAGCCCCAAGATCTGACCACCTTGGTTAATTTGGGACGGAAGATGCAGTGTAATTCACTCAACCTGAGTTCTTGGTAATGTACTCCAGTATTAATGTCACACATCTGAGTGTTGGCTTACAAAGAAATAGCAACAATTATGTGCCCTAGTAATGTCAAGCAAATCTGCTGCAGTAGTGTTGACAGATTGGATGTTAGCATGCCATGAGAACCAGTTACAGGAATCCCTTGGTTCACAAACACTGCTGTTTACAAACAATTTCAGTCTCAAAAAAAAGTTTAGCCGGGATTGGTGGCTCACGCCTGTAATCCCAGCATTCAGGAGGCTGAGGAGGGAGGATCATTGCGAGTTCGAGACCAGCCTGGGCTACAAAGTGAGCACAAGGCCAGCCTGAACTGCATAGTGAGACCCCATCTCAAAAAAGACAAAGAATTTGACAAAACAAACAACCTTTGCCGTCTTCCTCACATAAACACAAATGCAGCCATCTTCCCTAAAATCATAAAACAAATTTAAGTTTGTGAACCGAGGTGCCCACCGTATGCACCACCCTTCATCATAGAGAAGAAACTTACAACTGTGTAAACGTGAAGACAGCCTAGGTTTTGACATAGCTAATATGTACCAAATGCAGCAGCTATATCTCTGCTTAATGGTAGAAAATAGTTCAACAGTGACTTTCTTTTTCCCACAGTGATTTCAGAGTTAACTCCCTAAAGGTTAATAAGGTTTTACAGTTATACACGTAAAGATACAGAGTCTGGGAATGAAGGAATGGAAGGGAAAAAACTGAAACCTTAAACCATCTGATAAGAGAAAGAGAATAGAGAAGTCATACAAACGATCCCATTGGGCGGTAGAAAGTTGTATATTCAGTTGGGTAAAAATAAGAAAAAACTGATGAGAAATGGAAGTGTAAAACAAAATTACATGGGGAGTAAAAATAAGATCAAAAAATTACAGTGAGAAGAAAAGTAAAGGAAAAATTAAAAAAAATAAGGAAAAGATAAGAATCAAGATACAAAGGACACAGGAAAATTCAGGCTTCGGTAAGCTGGTGAAGAAAGGGATAAAAAGGAAAAGAAAACCCTACGAAAACTATACACACAAAAAAACCTTCCCTGTGAGTTTGAACACGTACTTTTCTTCCAAGGTCTACAATTTTGAGTCACTCCCTGCACTTGTGAGTAGATAAAGGACGCAGTCGGACTCCAGATCCATGCTGGACGCGTGAACCAGCAGGCAGTAGGATCAGGCCAGGGCAGCAAAGTCGTGACGTCCAAATCCAGAGCGACTCGAGCTGAGTCTGGCCACGGGGCCTGGCCTTGTGTCCTGTAGCTCAAATCCCTACAGGGGTCTCTCCAGCCTGAACACAGCTCCCCGACCACAGCTCTCTGTCCCCCAGTCACTGTGGGAAAGTCACACTGGGGTCTGAAGTGCAGCCGTCCCGCAGCTGCTGTGTGTCCAGGTGCAGAGGACCACCCTGCCCTGGAGTGGTGTCTTCACACACTCTGTCCAGGGATAAGACAGGCCCTTGGACTGGAGTCACTCACCAGCCACTGCCTGTCACAGGACTCAGGAGAGCAGAACCCCATGCTCTGGCCAGAGCTCACAGCACTGCTAACCAGTTCCACCTCTGTGTGTCTCCCTGGGGCCCTGCAGGGCTCCCAGCCTTCACTTTGTGGATTTGGTCTCCCTTTCTATGAGCCCCAAGCTGAGGGCCAGGGAGCAAGTGGAGCTGGCCCCTTCCCTTCTGTGTTGTGTTCGGTCTCTGCATTCTCTCTCAAGGTTTTAATTTGCCTGTCAGATTCTCCCTGGTTCCCAGGTACCTACTTCTCTATTTTTTCCCCTAGGTTTTTATTTTCCAGTGTCTGGATTCCAAATTTAAGAGGTTAGTTGTTGCTTACCACTCTGCATCCACGTGGAAACTTGGTTTTGTGCTTAGATTAAATTATTTCCATACCCCTGTCACTTAGGCACTGCTCAGTAGATAGGATCATTGTTCTTCCAAATCATTATTATTTTATCTTCCAAGCTGGCCTTGTCTGGGTTATTATTTGGTGTATCGGCATGCTCCCAATTCAATGACAGATGTCCTCCTTAGAATTGAAAAAAAATAGGGTCTTTAAATCCCATGGTTCACTGAAAATTTCACAGAATGTTCCTGTGGTTTTGAGGACCTGTAGATGCTTAGATCTTCTTTCCATGTTCTTGTCCTGAACAAAGAATTGGACAAGACAAAGGTAAAGGAAGCACAGTTTTACATGTATTTAAAGTAGAAAAAGTACGCTCTGCAGAGTATGAGCCATTTAAAAACAGGGAAAGAAGTACCTCTTCAGGGTGACAGTGAGCCTCAGAGACAGAGCTCGCAGGGTTGCAGCCAATAGCTGCCATCTTTTGTATCTAAGGCTCGTTTTATTTTAATGACTGATCCGTTAACTTCCGAGGCCACATGCCCAGGTACAGTGTCTTTGTCTCTCGCTTCTGTGTCTTGCTGATCTCTTCCTTGGCCCTAAGGTGCACCCCACAGTGTTTCCATCCTCCTAGACCCGCTGGCCTCTGCATGGTCAGCCAGGAGTTTCCCGGGGGCTTTGCCTGCCGTCAGCGTGTGGATGTGTCCCAGGAGAAGCTGCTTGTCTTTTAACAAGGCCCCTTCCCCATCAGGTACAGGCTGTGGCACGCGTGGTAGTGCTCTTAGATTCATGGCGTCTCTGAAGTACACTACACACCATCCGTTACCTTCTCGGGCACCAGCAGTGACTGCTCCTTTCCGCTGTCTGTGCCCGTATGCCTGCCTGTCACAGTGTGTGACTGTGGCAACGCAGAGGATGAAAAGGTCACTCCGACGAGACCTGCTCTGGACACTGTGAGACCCAGAGGGCCATCTCCACTGAGAGCGCCCAGCATCAGAGACTCCCAAGGTCAGCACGAAAGTCAAGAACCCTGGCTTTTACTTAAAATATCAGTGTAAGAGGAAAAAAAGAAGAAAAACAATCCGGGCATGGAGCTGTCTCAGGGAGGCGGTTTGTTGGGGACCTTCTGGCTGCCGCAGCAGAGGATGCTGGCAGGTGTCTTCCAAAGCCTGAGCGTGAGCACCAGGCAGCATGCAGGACGTGGCAAGGAGCTAGACCAGGTGACAAAATCCACCCAGGGTCACCAGATGTGGATAAAACTTGCAGAACACGACACTCATCCAGCGTTATCTGTGGATTTCATGTTTAATGTTTCTGGCCTCTTTCTGGAAAGTTTCTCCTTTTGCCTTCCTACTCTTAAAGCCTGTTTTACTCTCTGCAAAACCCTTCCCAGTCATCTTCTGGCCTGGTGACCCCTCCTCGGCACGCACACACACACACACACACACACACACACACGTTTGCCCTCGCCATCCCTGTTGGCCCTGGGTTTTTCTCTTCTGCCAATGTCCAGTTTTCTACACTCACAGCATTTCCTTTGAATCCTTTTTTAAAAAAAATACTTGCTCTGATTCCCTCTTAACCTGACAATCAAAGTTCAGGCTGGGAAAATGTATTATCCTCGTTAGTTAGAGCACCGCAGAACCCTGGTCCTCTTGTCTCATCCGTATACCATATATTGTTAGTGATTTATGAAATTTTACTTAGACCAGACGACCTATTTTTGTTGTCTTCATGAGATTAAAATCTGCCAGATAATCTGAAATGATTTGAAAAGCAGTGCAGTCAGAAAATTGTTTTTTGGTTCTTTTGTTTGGTTTTGGTTTTGTTTTGAGACAGGGTCTTTCTGTGTAGTTCAGGCTGGCCTTGAACTTACTGTGTAGCCCAGGTTGGGCTTGGACCTGCAGCAGTCCTCCTGCCTTGGCCTTCTGAGTTCTGGGACTGCAGGTATGCACCAGCGCACCGGCACGGTCAGAAAACTCTTCCAAACCTTTATTTTAAATATTCTGCCTGGTGTTCAGTGGTACTTTATAATTCAAATACTGAGTGCCCAGTGTAGAAATACAACCAAACTCCAGGAGCTTTATGGCTAAAATTTGCCCTGAAAACAGAAAGAGTACAAAAGTAACTTGCCTTCTGCATAATTCTGAGGTACTATCGAAGTGAAGTAATAAGGGTTCCTGAGGTCAGGAAGGAACGTTTTGAAAATTCTATTCTTGGTATTTGTCAGAGTGTAAGAACCTCTTAGGTTCCCCTAACTTGGTTTTCTATGACACTTGATGTTCCGGGCTTCAGACAGCCAGATATTTCAAAAGCACCCTATTTCCTAAAGTAAAACTCTTGCAATCGTCACAAAAGAGACTGATTTGCCTTGACATACCAATCGGTTGCAGCCAAATATCTAAAGCAGCTTCTCACAGCTTTCATTCATAAAAATCATGCAGGGATCACACCAAGCTGAGAAGTCAAGACCCTATTCACAAAGTACCACCCTGGGTATGTGTGTTGGAGTTAGCCTAATTAATTTCAGGGCCAAATGTCACTACTGTTTTGTCCTAATTTTCACACAGTGAAAACCTTTCAGAAATCAGATAAAAAAAAATGGCTCCACACCTCTGAACACACCAAAAACCACTGAATTGTCTGCTTTAAAGGGTGATGTGGGTGATACTTGGATTATTTCTTTATAAGGTTTTTTTCATTCTTAAGAAAAAGTCTATAGCACAGTGAATCCAATGCATCCTCGGTGCGAAGGACCTCACCTAAGAGAACTGGCCAGATCCGCCGTGGGCAGCGTGGGCAGCGTGAAATCACCCGATGCTGGGTGGAGCCCTGAAAGCTCTCTTTGCTGCCCACGTGGCAGGAGGACCACGCAAATGAGTCTGGGCCACAGCCTGCGTTACATCAAAACACATCTAAAAACAAAGGGTCCTTACTTATCTACATTACTACAGGATGCATTTTGTATTTGGCCCCAGGTAGGTAATTTCCCTGCACTCAGTGCACCCCAGGCGAGCCAGCTGGTCAGCCCATCGGCTGAGGGTTGCGGGAGCCCAGTGCTGGCTACCATTCATCACCCTGGGCTTTATGACTCCGCTCTTCCTATGAATCTCCTTGCTTTCCTTCCGTAGAACTCGTTCCTTCTTACCCTCTCAGCCCCCTGTCCTCTGCCTTTTTCTTTCCTTGCTGTGTACATTCCTCTTCTCTCTCCTCTGGCTTTCCCTCTTCGGATCCCCACTGTGAATCCGTTGCCAAGTGTGTTCCTGAGTGAGCTCCTTGGCTCATCCTTCAGGGTCACTGTCCCCTCCCTGCCATCTGCCGCCATCTGCGGCACAACAATCACCGATCTCAAGGGACGAGACCCCAGAGGAGCCCTCGAAGTTGCTTTCAGGCCAGCACAGCATTGTATAACTGTCTTGGCCAGCAATCAGTCAGCTATCTGAATTAGTCAGTGTATCCTGGTGCTCCAACACGGGGACTAAAACACATGCAACAGCAGACCACAAGACCATGAGGGCTGGGGGGTCCGAAAGGGGACCTCAAGGGGGGATGACACTAGAGCCAGGCTGGGGGGAACGGCTCCCACTGCGTTTACATGGAATGACAGTGCCACCGTGTTTCTACATGGCGTCTGCAGTGCGCTGGGTCCTCCCTGAGACGCTGCATCTGGACTGGGAGAAGGCAGAGGCCCAGGCAGCGCAGGAGGAGCCCTTGCACCAGCACGGTGGTTTCCAGTGCCATCGATGGCCAGCGCGTTCCGAGATAACACAAGCTCCGAGCTTAGCGTGCTGCCTGCTGCAGATCAGAAAACGTCTTTCACCGCAGGTAGGACTGGGGTGAGTATGGGTTTCAGAGCAGGCGGGAGCACCCGGCTCCTTGCTGTCCTCCACGGCACCCGATGTGACTCGCTTTATCCTGGCTGTCATCGGGCAGGGCCGACTGGCATCAGCAACGCGGCCAGGTGGCCTCCTCCCAGGAAAATGACGCGGTCTCTTGGGTGGAAGTTGTTCCACAAGACTCAAAGGCAGGAATGATGTCTGCTCCTGCCGAGGTCTTTCAAAGCAGGAACTTGACCGCAGAAAGCAGAAGTCTTTGAGCTTTTTTTTTTTTTTCCTTCTTCTTTTGTGGTTTCACACAGCAAATGAGTGACAATCTCTACTCATAGACAGAGTGAGACGTCAGGCAGTGAGGGGCGAGCCTGGCCGCCCTTCTGGTCCCTCCCACACATACCCGCTCAGTTTTTTTTTACCCTTATCACACATTCCAGAAAGCCTGCCTGCTGCAAGAATCTCCTTAACAGTTTCCCATGTGCCGTCTCGTCTGATAACGCTGTAGGATTCGGCTTCTGAGAGCCACTCGGAAGCGGGCGGTGACACTGCGTAATCTGTCTGTGAGGCTGGAGGCGCTGGCTGGCGCTCCGAGGAACTGTCCCACACTGCAGGCATGAGGGGAACCGGCATCAGGGACGGTGTGCCCAAGGTGAGTGGTGGGCGCCCTGTGCCTGGACTGGGACATGAGGAGGAGGCTGCGACCAGTTTTGATTCTGAGTTTCTAACGAAGGCACAGGATGAGTACCAAGGACGTGCAGGTCTGACCAGGGAACACTGGGTGTGCGTTTAAGGGTGGGAAATCCTTGTACTGCAAAGCTTCCGAGATGGGTGCCTATAACTGCTCAGGAGATAGCGGTGGATGCGGTGGGTAATGAAGCCCATTCCTTTATGTCCACTCACTGCCCAGCGAATGTGAGTCTCTGCCCAGCCCAGTCCGGGCTTCCTCTGCACCTTGAAGACACTCCGTGTGGCTCTCAGGATCCTGACTCTTTCCTGAGCTCGCTTCCCCAGAGCAGAGCCCAGACCGGGCTCCAGCCTCCTGGCTGATCCACCATGGTCCCCAGCTGGAATTTGCATACCGGCTGCAGGTCTGTGTGTGAATCACAAAAGAGGCCTTGGTTAGAAGCCACGGTGGCTACAGAAAAACATTTACTCAGACTCGGGGAGAGTGAAGCTCAGGGTTGATGGTTTTGTTTTATTTAAATTTCTGTTATATCCTTCTAAATTTTTAAGCAGAATAGGCAAAACAAAAACAAACAAAGCAAGAAATGGAACAGTTGCTCGGTGAGGAGCCTGTTCACCAGGATGATAAAATATGCAATCTAATGTAGCGGGATGCGTGGCTGAGTGATCCCCACAGCCTCTTATGTAGTCTGCGTGTAAATACTTAGCTGCCTGGGAACTTGGTCCTCAACTACCTTCACATCTTACAGCGCTGGAATAACAGAGGTGGCTAACTTAGCTCCGCCAGGCCCTGGACGAGGCCGCCCGAATCCATCCCTTCCTGGCGCTTCGTGTACGTGTGTGCATCTGTTTGCGTGTACTTGGACACGGTCTCTGACCATGCTGTCACTGATGTAGAGCGATTGAAAGTAAACAACAGAACCAGGATGCTCTCCCCGAAAACGCCTGACCGAGCGTCTCCCGAGACACCCCTCCCCGCACCCACAGCTGGTCACGGTGGCCTCGTGACGCCACCCTCATCTTCAGTCCACATTCAGATTTTCCAAAAACACCTTATCTGCGGTCTGCTTTTCCACTCAGGGTTCCTCGAGGGGTCACCCGCGGTGTCATCTATCAGCTCTCAGTTGTCCTTAATCTAGATCAATCCACTCCCCGTTTCTTTCGTAACACTGACCTTTTTTTCCAAATAGCCTAGATGTTTCTTAACCATTTAGATGCCTTGTTCTTTGTGTACCACTTATTCTGCCTCGATTCTTTACGTGGCACCTTACAGGGGTACCCCGTAGCCTGTGTGCAGAGGACATGACTGAGTCTCAGCCTCCCCGTGCGGGTCTGCCCTCTGTGTGTGTGTGTGGGGGGGGGGGTGATAATAATTCAGCCCTCCTGGTCACCACCAGCCCTGTGCTGAGTGTCCCCGCACGGCCTCGTCCCCTCGCAGCCTCCGTCCTCCTTGGGTTAAAGCTGAGGAAACACCCGGGTTGACCTGGGACGGGATGCAGCAGGGCCCAGACCAAACCCAGGCATCTGCGCCCCGGAAACCCCAGCTGTGAGCCAGCCACTGCGCACTGACCCTTAGACAGAGACCGAGGAGTGCCCTCGGCTTTGTGGGCCACACAGAGACTCGGTTGTGTATTCTTCATTTTTACAACCCTTTAAAAATGTAAAGTCTTACTGTAATAATGAAGAGAAAGAGCATCTGGGACAGGGGAAGGAAAAAGGGAAGATTACATGTATGTAGGTTACATATATAGCTCTGTGTGTGTGTGTGTGTGTGTGTGTGTGTGTGTGTGCGCGCGCACAAGACAGACAACTACACTTCCAGCTCTGTGAGTTCATCCAAAAGAATAGCTGTGCTGTCCTGTCCCGTCGGATTATCATTTTTTGTGCCTAGATCTTGTAACCTGAACAACTAGTTCTAAAATAGCACTATGCAATAGATTAGCTAATGTGAATTTCCTACTATTTTTTGAGATTCTGTATCATTTCTATATTTTTTCTGTTTTGCTACACACATACACACATATATATATACATATATATGTATATATATACATACATATATATATACATATATATATATAAAATCTTTTTTTTTTTTTGGACTGGGGATCAAACTCATGACCTTGAACTTGCCAGGCAGCCACTGCCTCTGAGCTATATCTCTGGCCTCATTTTTATTTTTATTTTTTTAAATTTTTTTATTTTAAAGAGATTAAGACAAAAGAGGACAGAACAAAGCAGATCAGAACAGAACAATGTAAGCAACATAGTACTTCACCACAAGACAACCCAATATTAACAGTAGCTACCATAATGTCTCTTTCTTTGGAATAGTTGAGCATACCTTTACATACAATACTATCAAACATAACAAAATAGTATAAAACCATTCAAGAGAATGAAAGTATTACAGGGCATTCAGAACCAAATAACTGAAAATGAACAAAGGCTACTATATTATCTCATTTTTCATAAAAAATGTGTTTATACTATCACACATAATACAATCCAATAAAATACAACATAATAGAACCAAACGAAACAGAAAGAACAAAAGCATGATAGGACTTCAAAGCAAGATGATATTAAATCAGCACTAGCTATTATGATGTCTTGTTTTCTTCAAAATAGCTGTTCATATCATCACAGACAATAAAAACAAACAACCCAACATAAAACCATTCCAACTAATGAATGAAAACATTATAAGGCTTCAAAACAATGTAATGGGGAACCATGATTACCATAAACACTTATGTGCTCTTACCATTTCTTATACCAGGGAGACTATATGGTATTTATATATGTGAGTTTGATTTATTTTGCTTATGAGTATGGTTTCAAGTTGTGTCCATTTATTTATAAATATCTCAATGTGATCATTCTTTATAGTTGAGTAGTATTCCATTGTCTAAAAATAGCACAACTTTTTTTATCCATTCCTCAATTGATGGAGACTTAAGTTGTTTCCAAGATCTGGCTATTACAAATTGTGCTGCTGTAAACATGGGTGCACATATATTTCTGTGGTATGATGCTCTGTGGTATGATATTTCTTCTGGGAAATGCCTAGCAGTGGAATAGCTGGAACAAATGGGACCTCCAATCCCAGCTTTCTGAGAAATCTCCAGACTGACCTCCACAGTGGTTGCACCAGTCTACACTCCCACCAACAGTGCAGGAGAGTTCTTCATTTTTATTTTTATTTTTTGAGACAGCTCTCACTGTGTAGCCCAGGCTGACCTTGAATTAGCAGTAATCCTCCTGCCTCAGTCCCCCAGGTGCTGTGATCACAAGTGTGCATCACCCCACCCGACCTGCAAAACCTAAAGTCATTCTGAACTCCCAGGCCAGTTGTCTGGATTTGGGGCTCGGGCCCCTGTGTCCAGCCTGTGTCGCCTCCCCTCACAGTCACTCCACACCAGAATGAGGACCCGCGTTGGCCCCGGCCCTGGGCAGCCTCAGCTACCGTTTCCTGGTAGCTCGGGTCTCCCTGTCCATGCACATAAACCACAGTGCTCTTTCTCCACTTTTTAAAGGAACATCCGGTAGCTGGTGAGCACAGCTGTTGAGCTGGTTGCCTCTCACAACGATGCACATCAGAGTCCAGATCTAAGAGCACAGCTGATCCCTGATGTGGACCTCTGCCAAGTCCTTGACTTGCTTTTTAGATGCGACCTCAGCACCTGCGGGCTCAGGTCCCCAGCTTTGGCGTATTGGGCTGCAGTGCCCGGGCTTGCCTTCTGAGCCCCCTTCCCGTGGGGGCTTGTGCTGGCCGTGGAGGTACGCAGCAGCCGCTGGCAGAGCTGTGTGCGAATGCTGCGCGCTAATGGCCAGTTCCCCGTCAGGAGCGCTTTCCCCTTAGCGCACAGCAGAGTTTGGGTTTACCAGCTGCTTGATCGTGCTTTGCCCTGCTGTTCTACAAGAGCTAAAATAAGCATTATGATGTTAGCACGGGTGGCCTCAGGGACTGCGGTTGCAATGAAACCAGGAGCCCCCACGCCATGAATCCGAGGCGCCTTCATGGGCTGTTTGAACGCTGGCCGGCAGGCTGCTCATCACCTCTACTCTGTGCGTGCTAGAAAATTAGCTCTAAAAGGCCAGGTAAATGGGTGATTTGTATCATAGTCCTTGCTTTGAATGTTTGGTGACTTAATTATGCTTATTTGTAAAAATATAGTCTGCAGGTACTTTAGTGATTCAGTCCTGTTTGTTGCGAAGTGTGCTAGCCCGTGGGTGTTCACACCCCTGTGCACATGTGGCTAGAGGTGATTCGGAGTTAGCACCTTGATACGCAGCTCACACACACACACACACACACACACACACACACACACACACTGTCCCGTTTTTCCCTCTGCCGTGTCTAGGACCAGAGGTAGCATCACTGAGTCAGATAAACATTAGTGCTTCTTTCGTCACTTCCTGAGACTTTGCAAAGCTGGTCTGCAGTATTTTCTCTCGAATCCATACTTCATCTCTTTTACGAAGACAGCTGGCCAGGCATAGATGGTGGTGCCCACCCGCATTTTCAGCGCTCTGGGAAGCTGAGGCAGGAGGATCACAGGTTGGAGCCCAGTCTGGGCAACTAAACAACTTTATGAGACCCTGTGTCAAAATGGAAAAAAGAAAAGAAAGGCCCTGGGCTCGATCCACAGTACCACCACTAGAAAGCCAGCTACACGCTCACTAGTTTCTACAGAGCGTTTTCAAACCAGTTTTCTTGTGTGAGTGAACACTGTCCAGCGTTCGTCTTTTGAGAACATTAAGTGGTGGTGTCTGAGGCCCGGCCTCAGTCATGGTCCTCTCCCAGCTCACAAAGTGCAGCAGTTTAGATGCACTGAGGAAGAGCAAGGTAAAGGCAGAGTCTTTAAAACCACCCACTTTCCTGGGGACACTTTAGCTGCAGCAGTGTGCGGGTCAGAGGCCGAGGCAGGGCTTGGATTCCCTGAGGGTTCGGGGAGG